GGAGGAGTGCATATGTACACATAGCATGCAAAGGAAGCAATTAAATATAAACTCAAAACAATTTAAAAAGTGATTCACGGCAAAAAGTGCTCTGATGTAGAGTCTGCATTACGTATTTGCTCTTGACATTAACTTGCTGCAGCTTGCTGAAAGGGCAGAAGATTAAAATTATTAGGACAGTGGGAATTTTGCTGAGTTTGGTGAGTCCAGTTACAATCAAACATTTTAAAATATCTGTATCTACATGGCTTTGTACCCTTTTGATTTCTCTCCTAGTTTTTTCAGTTCCTGTAGGCCCAGTGTACTGAAGGTAAATCTGCTTCAGTTTTATTTCACTTTGTCTCTTGAATTCACTAGATTCTGAAAGCTTTCAAAGGAAGTCAGAGGTAGGAATTAGACAAAATATAGAAAGTGGGGCATTTCTGACTGGCTTGTGTGTTTTCAGAGTCTAAAAAGAAATATTTTTTTAAGCAAACTGTAGGAGGACTCATAAAAATAGATATTTACATTTACATACCGGGACAGATTCTCAGCTGCCATGGAGTAGTATTGCTCTATCTTCTTGCATAGACCTAACCCCACCCAGCACAGCCAAGAACTTGCCTCTCACACATGTACATATATGTGTGAAATATGTTTAGGATTCTGTATTTTTTTAAATGTACAGAAGCAGCTTCTCCCTCCAGATGTTTTTGCCTGTACATTGAGTTATGGGAGTTATAGCTCCTCTGTTTTTAACTGAGGGTGATGTCTTCAGGGAGGTAGGATGAGGAGGAAGGCTGAAATGCAATGAGAAGAATGCATCCACAAAGGAACTGTATGAACAGAGAATCCCAGAGGGTAAGGTGGGGGAGAGAAACAGGAAAGAAAACGATGTCCCACATAGCCATGATGTGGTCTAAGGGCATTACTTCTTGGCAACAACTGAAAACCAAGCAACATGTGCATTCACAGCAATGGGAAGTTAAACTGTGATTGATCAGCAACCGTGACTTCTGGAAAATACTTCAGGTGTTTTCTGCTAGGTAGCAGGAATAGCGGGAGACCTGCTATTGGGAGCAAGGTGGAGACAAAGCAGCTCTGCCCTCAGCTGTGCTGTTGCTGGAGTCACGTAACACAGGACAGAGAGTAGGTGTCACATCAGATAGTGCTAATGGGTGCCAACAGTTACCTTCACTCCTTCCCTCTCAGTCTCTCTCTGCACAAGAGTCAAGTGAATATCGATGTAGAACAATTGTGTATGACTTTGCTTCTGCCCACACAGTGGGACCCTGGTAGTAATTCAGACTGTACTGGACTCTGGACACATAATGTACACTGAATATCCATAATAAATAATAATTAACACAGTAGGGGGCAGCAGCCAGCTGTGGAGGAAAAGTAGGACCAGCTGCTGGAAGAGAAATAGGCACTGGCTGAGCATGCAAGCTGGGCACTGGGGAGGGCGAGAGGGCCATGGCTGGGAGCCAGTGGCAGCTTACTGCCAAGAAGAGGGAGATAAAAGCACAAAAGAGGTTCACCAGAGGGAGCTGCCCCTGGCCACCCCTCAGCAATCGGTAACGGCCCTGATCCAGGAGGGAAGGCTGATGGCAAACAGGAGCATCGCCAGACTGAGTGCAAGGCCAACACTGCTCACACATACCATGTTGGAGCTAACAGGACGTGTGTCTGTAAGCCAAGCAAGCCTGCTGCAGGGAAGCAGCCCTGCACAGGCCTCTGGCTTGCAGGAGACCTACAGCTCCTCCAGAAATGAGCGCAGACCCATCCTGTTCCCCTCAACATCTCCCCCGAATGCAACTCCAACTAAAGCAGGGTCAACACTTCAGAAAAGAGTGCAGCTCCACAAGAGACTGGGTACCCAGTCAGTGTTTTGCTGAAGCCTCCTGATGCTCATGTCTCCTTAATTTCATTTACAGAGAAGTGTCCTGGTAGTTTTGAAGATCCCCAAAAAGCAGCACTATTACTAGTATGAATTCCCCTGAAGATCTGACGAGTAGTGCTTGGTGTCCCCAGGTGATAAGGCAAATAAAAACCTGCTTTTGAATACAATGCACACACTTAGCAGTCCAGTAATCCAGTACAACTAAAATTTATCTTAGCTTTAAAATATTTTTATAAGTACTCTGAAAAGTAATTTCTAAGATCAAATCAGTTCACCAGTCTCATTTTCACAGCACTGTTCATGGTGTGCTCCCCACATACTGGCTACTAAGCAAAGTCAATAGCATCAGTAACCTCCTCTACTTGCCCCATATGGAATACTTAACTATTTCAGCAGCATAGCATAACAATTAATTAGTGCATGTTCTCTGTAGTAATTATAAAAATGTGGCACATTTCACTTGAATTAGCTTAGTGAAATTTAGCTTTGTTTATGTTCATGTCTTACCTTCAAGTACACTTCCCGTGCTTGGGTATTTTTCACTGAGTTCAAATGCAAACAGATAAACCTGTTTGCTTCTCCCTCCAAAGTAGGAGTATGTTTATTTACAGATTCTATATACATCCACCAGGAAAAGTCACACACGACAACAGAAGTTTGGTTGTTTTGTGAGTTTTTTTGCTATGTTCCTAGTTGGCTGAACATGGTGGGTAAGATGTGGGTGATGTTAAAGGGAAGCCGCTTTTCCTCCATTTCTCAACAGAGAGGCTGAGGGGTTTTTCAGTTTCACTAAAAAGAAAGAGCTACTATCTGAGTCTCAGTTTATGTAGCCCACAAGAGAACTCGACAGAGGACATCTCAGACAAATAGGGTACAGCATCGGGGAGAAACATCCATAATTTTTGCAGGTAGTGGACAAGCATAATCCATGTATGAGCTCAAATGCAAATTCATGGTCAACAAAGAGCCTATATGTTGAATATATATACAGTTCAACCATAAAGAAGCAAATTCTTTCTGAATAACTTACATCTGAACATCTGACCTTAAGAACCAACCTCAGCTAAATGCTGGCAAACACCAAGATTTGGAAGGAAGCTGGGGGTGTTGCACTATTTTGAAAGCTCTGTTTTGAACCAGCTGTCATTACGAATGTCTGCTGGTACCCCATCTTAGCATACAGCCTGTCACTGTTGAGCATAATGAGAATGAGCCAATGGAGTGTATTGAGCTATGCTTTCTTTCATGTCCTTGTAGCTCAAATTATCCCTTCACACAGCCATAACAGGTAAACTTTGAATCTATTTGTGCCACCTTCTAATTGGTTCTGTTTAATTCGTGCATATGTCTATGTGTATTTGTATATACATATATACATGTATACATATTTATATGCATATATGTACAATTGGACATCATTATTAAAAGTAAATATGCATATTGTCACAGATTATTGCTATGTTCATCACAGATTCTTAGAGTAGTTGGCTTTATTATACAATTAAACCATATAAATTTATTGCCTTCTTTAGAATAAATAAGGAACACAGGATTCATTGTACCATTCAATTTTAATGGCTTGGACTTCTCAGCACCCACATGAAAACAAGGAAACATATATTGCAATAGTCAGTATAATTATTTCAGCAAGGAGCATCCGTCCCACACTCCTAGAAATATGAGATTCAGCATCACGAGATTCTAGAATTATGTCATCAGCTGCACGAGTTTCACAGCTTATCTCTCTGGTTTTATGTTACAGAAGTAAACTCCAACAAAAATGTATAACACTGCCAATTTAACAGCACATTCATGTTAATACTAGCTGTAAGGATTTAAAAAAGGTGAATAGGATCAGCATTTCTATACATATGTGTGCACTTACATATATATAAGCATACACACACGCACATATAAATGCAAACGTATATGTGTGCACTATATATATATATATACACTGTATTTAGAGGTCGATTCCAAGTATATTAAACTTGAAAACAATGTTCCATACAGTTGAGCAATTTAAAGAAGTCCCTGCTGGCACATGGAGGAAGATCAAGCTAGTTGATATCATTAAACACCATTGGATGAAGCCGCGGTAGCTGAAACGTTCCTTAATGAGAATTTAAAGACAGCAGATTAAAATTATATTCCTCCAATCCAACAGAATACTAAGGTAAAGACAATCCATTACAATCAAGATCACATTTAGCACTAAAGGAGTGTTGTTTGTAGATCAGAATTTATTGCCTGAAGTGAACAGCTAGGCTTGTGACTATGTATATAATTACTTGCTACAACGTACTATCCTACAGTACTATAGCAGACATAGCTATGGAAGACGATGTCTTCCGTAATTTTAGAATGTGACGCCCATGACCAAGAACTAGAAAATCTCAAAAACAGCAACAAAGGTCTTTTTATCTGTACTATTCTGTCTTTTTTACATTGTAAGAAATAAAACAACTCCATAATGACATGCATTTGCTTTTTGAACTACTAAGTCAACTGTTTCAGTTGGATGTTGTTGGCCAATAGAGTAAGTGGTACCAAGGAAGTGGTTTGAGCACTGTACCTGTGTGCCTGTTCAGAGTGCTGGCAGCTTTCCTCTGGGCACATCAGGAAGGATTTTCAGTGAGGAGACACAAAGAGTGCTCAGCACTACATCATATCTGTTGTTAGTTTAGAGAAACGTATCACATCTTTAGAATCTCACAGCTAAAAAAGATACTGACAGGCAGTACTGTGACTAGAATACATGAAGAGTAACAAGGAAACTGAAAGGACTTCTAGGTTAGGGAAGATTAAGTGAGCCAAATATCTATGGGTTGGTTTCATGTTAAACACAATAGTACACTAGTTAAAAGATATCAATGAAGGAAAGAAGGAAATTTGCAAAGGTTATAAAAAGAAGAAATATGATGAGGTTAAGAAAGGAAAAAAACTCCTGATAAAAGATACTGTAGGTCGCACAACCTCTCCCTAAAGACATGACATCACTAGTGCATTTAATCTAGGCACAAAAAAAACCCACAAAAATATACCATAAGAAACAATTTCATTGCGACAGGGAGCTGTATTGGATGACCTAAAAGGTACATTGCTAATTGGTGTGCACCTGTTATCTGTGATTTTCCTTGCTTGTATGGCCAACTCATCATTACTTGTGTGTATTCTGTTTCTCTGGGTCCAATCCAACTCATGCTGTAGCCAACAGAAGTTTCCAACAGGAGCAACAGGACCTCAATGTCTTTTCCATGTCTTTGCAGTTCTAAAAAGAAAAGGATTAAAAAAACCCACACTACTCTGCAAGAACTATTACTGCATTCGCTATATGAATGTATATGCAACTAAACTAGATTGTTCCCCAAGTACTTTTTGGATATTTCAACCTGTGTTTATCCTTAGAGATATCTGGGGAAATGTGCATTTACTTTCAGTGTAGCTAAAATGTTTGCTAGGGAAGAAAATTAGAGTTCATCTAAAAATAACTTCTGATGAAAAACTACTTTGGTCATGGAAGGATAAAGAAAATTCTCTACACAGAACTGAAAAAATGTATTACACAGAAATGGTAGAGCTCTTTCTGTTGCTAAAGCAGTAACGCAACTGATGAAAAAAACTAACAGTGAATTCTGAACTCAAGTTAGTTTTCAAATACTTGTACCAAATGTCTTAGTGTATATATAATCAAATAGTGCTTAAAATCCAGTTTGCTTGCAGGTAGGGAATCACTATTTTGTAGCAGTTCAGTGTTGGCCCCTTGAGAGACACAAATTTCTGTGTAAGTGGGGCTGAATGTTCAGGGGTCAGGGTTGTGTGCTAGTGTTGTCCACATATCTAGCAGCTGGTATTGTAAATCTTTAGAGTAGAATTTCTTGAAAATACTAAACAGACTTTTTGGTAGCTGGTATTGAGCCTGTGGCTATACTGCTTCAGGCTATGATCTTGTCAGCTTTTACAAGATAAGTAGGGTCAGGCAGGGTCACCACTTGGATTGGTAATTCTAAGGAAAGGCAGTAGCTGCAGGAAGTATCTTAGGCAATAGAATGGCTGTAACCGTTTTCCCTGAGCCTTTTCTAATACCCTGATGAAGGTATAACACCAAGCTGTGACATGAGAGCAAGATTCTTACCCTCTGCAATCATCAAGTGCCTCATTTTCAAAGGGGTCTTCCTCTGACCTGGCGTGGAGGTGTGTGGTACAGTAAATGGGAGACTGCAGAAGTCAGGTACTGCTTGCACATGTGCACGGTCCTGGTTGAACAGCATGTAAATATATGGCTCCAGTATGTTTCATCAGGAAGAAGGTACAGGTGAATGACATTTCTGACGTCTTTGAGGATGCTGCCAGCTCAATATTAGGTCTTTGTCTGCATTTCTAAGACAAAAGACAAGTCTATTGAGTCAAGACCTTACACACCAACTTTCAGTCTCACACATTTCTACAGTAAGTATAGAAGGGCTGATAATTAAATTCTTGCCCGATAGTCTACATTGCCAAGAATTTTAAATTGTAAGTTAACCAATTTCTCCTCTAAAGTTCAGACAATAAATAAAATTCTATGTGAAAAATGAAGCCTTTTATTCCTTTGTTAAATGTGATCAGAGTAAACTACAGATGTTAAAAGGCACTGAAGTTCAAAGAATTAAAAGAATCTTATGGGGTTTGTACAAAGATAAGAGTTTTAGAGAATAATATAGAAAATATTATAATGCTATTATATAAATCAGTGGCATATCCTCACTTTGAATACTGTCTTCAAACTTGGTCACCTCATTCCTGAAAAAAGAAAGTGGAAATAGAACAAGTCCAAGGTATGATAATAAAAATGATAAAAGTCAAAAGGATGGGAAATTTCTTGAGAAAAGTTAAAGAACATAAGTGTTATCTTGTCTCTCAGGAAGATTTATCCTCATGGGACATTCATAGATATGGAATTTAGGGACATGGTTTAGTGGTGGAATTGGTAGTGTTAGGTTGATGGTTGGACTCCACAATCTTAGACGTCTTCAATCATTCTATGATTCAAATCATACATGAACTGAATGAACCCCCTTCATAAAATTTGAACACGTGCTGTTGTCTGATTTAATCTAGATGTCATCCTTGGACCCCAGCAGTTCTTCTGGAAGGCTCTGGGCCCTTGCATGAATCAGACTTTCAGCCACTGAAGGCCAATCTGACCCATGGACAGTGGACAGAAGACAGGGTTAAGTAACACCTTTTTTTGTATATTAAATCATACGATCCTAAAATGGTTAGGGTTGGAAGGGACCTTAAGCTCTAGTTCCAAGCTGGCACCATGAGTAAGGGTGCCTTGCACTAGACTGAGTTACTCAGAGCTCCAAGCAACCTGGCCTTGAACACTTTCAGGGATGGGGAGTCCACAACATCTCTGGGCAGCCTGTTCCAGTGCCTCACCACCGCCACAGTAAGGAATTTCTTCCTAATATCTAATCTAAATCTAATCTTCTTCAGTTTAAGGCCATTATCCCTTGTTCTGTCACTATAGGAAAAGTGAAAACTCCTTTTCCAGGGACTTGACCGTATCCCTGACTTACTTTTTTGGTCTTTAGAAACTTTGCTTTTCCCTACCTTTCTCTAAAACTTCTGAAAGTCACAGGTGATTGAAAGGTACAAATCCATTGACTTGACTGGCAACCTTTTCAGTTAAATCACTTGTCTTCCTCAAAAATGTGCCTTTTGTCTATTAAAATATTCTGAGCCCCGAAGAACTTGCACAGTGTCCCTCACTTTGTGTGATGGGATCTCCAGGCTTCGTCAGAGTTCTATTTAAGAATGACTATAATACAAATAACATTTCATCCTCGTGATCTTCAAACTTAATTAGCAGCAAAGGAAAAAAAATCTTTCCTATCCTGCAAGGTGAAACGAAAAGGTATTGAATTTCAAACGGATAGGAGGTATTGCTTTTCCAAACAATGTACAGTTAATTAATGGAACTTGTTGCTGCACAGTTAGTACTGAGAGAAATAACATAGTATTTGTAAACAAGGAGACATTTTTAGGCATAAAAGCAAATCTTCACACGAAGTTCAGGTTGGGTTAAATTCAGTAGTGTGCATTAAGCAGAAGATAAGATTAGATGACAATAGTGGTTGATCCTAGCCTTAAAAAATCTGTTAGTTTTGCGTAGATGCTGTTATGTAATAATGTCTAATGACTTAGGTGGTTCATGGTGTGTGCCAGTCAATAGACATTGTCAAGACAGTACCTTCATCCATGGTAAACCGTGACACTGTTAAATGCACAATGAGGAGGGAGAATCTCCTTATATATGGTCTAGTATTGCTCTCTGTCAAAATTTAGGCATCTTGACCAATGCCAGGGGCTGCTAAGGAGCAGCTGGGAAGGCCCACTACTCTCAGAGTAACTGCAGAGCATCATTAAACATCTACATATGAGAAACAAGGGGCTCTCTGATCTACTGATGAATTATCAGGGCATGTATGGATTCCTTCACTGGCCCTTCAGAGGATCAGGAAAATCTAGGAGGTTTTTCAAACTAGTGGCTATAACATCTCTTTCTAGATCTGGAAAAATCCTTTCACCTCCAGTCCTGTGTGGGAACCCTGGAGGCAACAGCCATACTCATGTTAGTATGGTGTGTCTTCAGCCCTGCCTGCAGATCAGGAAAAAGCAGACCAAGGTTAGTAAGGTCTCGGGCAGAAAAGATTTGGAGAAAGGTGAGGAAATCAAAGCTCAATGGCTGCAGTTAGCTATATCTTTGGATTTGTGTGACAGTACACACGGGATTCCTAGTGCCCCTTTACCCAGACCAGCACCCCTTCAGAGAATCCCCAGTCCCCTTCTAAACCCCAGACCTACCCAGAGAAACCTGTGGAGACAGAAAGTCCATCCTCAGCTGCCCACGGATGAGTTGTATATCTGAACCTCAGAAGCAGGACAACATTCCCCATGGGCATGTGTGTTCTGTGGTGTCTCTGGTACTCTTCTAATTCAGACATCCTAAGGTGGGGACAGAAGCCAGGAGATCTCATTTGCCCTGAGAAATGTTACCTTATTGTGGTGATGCATGATAGATATCTGATTTGTCTCTGAACTGCTAAGAATATGTTAATGTTAACAAGGTACCGAGAGAATAGAGGCCCTTTTTTCCATGATTGCACTTACCTACAGCTTCAGTCATCTTACAGGCCTCACAAGAAATCAAGGAGGATGTCTTCTAGAGAATAGCTGTTCTGGAGTCATTTCAGTTAAGGGACGTTGTTTCAGTCTTGTGCGTTGAAAAAGTTATCTACTGGTGGGGAAAAGAAAAGGAAAAGAAAAAGAAAAGGAGCAAATCAACTCCTTACACCAGTAGTTTCACTAGCAAGCTGTACTTTTACATAGAGTCAGAACAGGCACATAAAGTAAGCACAAAATGCACATGCAGTTGTAATTCCAGGATGTTTGTAATGGCAAGTTAGATTGTAAATTATTTCTTTGGAGGGCAGAAAGCACAGTGAAAATAATGTATATTATTCATAAAAATGATTGTCCTGTTCACTTGTATACTTCTGCAATTTATTCTGTAACAGCTTTTTACTTCAAAGAAATCACTAGCTAATGACATCTCAAACTTAAAAAAATCCACTTATTCACAACCCTGTCCCTGAGGGAATTCCTGCATGTTATCAGAAATTTTTCCAAAGATCATTAACAGATATTACAAACCAATTGAAACTGAGTATTTTCTTTGCAAATTACTTTTAACTTTAGAGCTATTGAAAAAAGGCATTGAGTGATTTAATTTACTTAATCTGTCTACAGATTGCAGCTATGTGCGTATCCTGTGATTGCATTTCCAACAAAAAGCATATATAACTATCCCTAATAGGGATATTTTTCTAAATTATCATACAAGATCAGTAAGATCTCTGCAGATATTAATGTTTACTTTTTCATTTAGAAAATTGCACTCTAGAAAGAAATGGGCATCTTTATTCTGTTGTTATTTTAGAAATAATAGCACACTATAATACTTATTTTACCTGCTATTTTAATTAAAACTCCAATAATCATCACATCCTTTGAGGATATGTTCTACTGATTTTTCTGAAAAATCACTGTATTTTCATTAGGCTGAGAAGACAATGTTTAAGAAACACCTTACACAGCAATGAGTATACCAAAAGCGATCCTCTATCTTGCACCAATCCAAAACAAAAAGCTAATTCAGCAGAATAGGGCTGGAGATTGTATCTTATTCTCCACCTTATTGCCTTAAACTCCTCCCAGAGAACCTTATGCATTTCAGCACCACTTCCGTGGGAAGTATGGAAAATCTCTTCCCCCAGGAATATTTAGCTCGTAGCTTCCTAGCAAGGGTTCCTGCTCTCATTGCAGATAAGAGATAAGGGCTTGGGTGGACTTTGAAGATATTTACTTTGAATGACAGTGAACACGGCTGCTGTACTTTTTATACTGCTCAGTCCTGATCCTGTGTTACACGTGCTTTGCCAGGACATTCTCTGTAGACATGTGGGCAAAGCATGGATAGTTCGAGGAGGTGAATCAGGATTAACAGTTGGGAAGTTCAACTCAGCTGAGCTGGTGACTGGTCAGAGGCAGGAGCAGAACATGGATTTTAGACGTCTTAAGATCCTTCTTATCAAAAATTAAGGTTAACTTGCGTGTGGGTTGGGAATCTACGCTTGGACATCCATATCCCACATGAGTCTCAGTCATCCTTTTTTGTGGCTTTGGGTCCAGAGACAGCTATTCAGAGAGGGACCCAGATTTTTCACTGAAAAATTTTCATATCTTCCTTTAAGTGGTGGGAGAAGTGTGCAGGAAGGGTGACAAAATTTTGCAGGTGGTGGTACCTTCCTCAAATACTCTGCATCTTCCCATCAACTTGGTCAGAGGTCTGCAACCAGTCTAAAGACTTCTCCATTCCCAGTACTATTTAACTCTCACTATCCTGCTGTCTTCCTTTCCTGAGTTACCATAGAAATATCACATAATGAAAAGATATTTTTTTGCCAGTGAATCAAACTTCATGGGGTCAATTTACTTAAGCAAATTTTGAAACTGTGTCAGTAGCTCAAAAAAATTACTCCCTGAGCTATCTGAGGTCCTGGTTTGTCCTGCAAATATTGAGAGGCCGTAAATCTTTACAGAGGTCCCACATCATCAGTTTGGCAGCTTGTGTCTATCCACCAATTTATGGTGGTATGTTGGCATGAGAAAGAAGATGAAATGGCTGCTACTGAGCAATTAGTATCTGCACAGGTTATTGGCTTGGTTTTAACCCACACTGCACTCAGATAAGTGCAGTGAGAGAGTATTATGTTCTTCTTTCCCAATAAAGATGCACCTCTCAAATTTTTCCAATTCCTGCTCTTCATTCACCCCCATGACCTGCTCAAGACACTCCTCTAGTTATGATCTGAACCCCTAGTTTACAGTCATAATAGCATTGCTACTGTCAGTAGCTGCTTCTGTGAAAGCTAACTGCATTTTACAGTCCCCTCTTTTTAGATGTGTCTGCCCCACCCTTCTGCCACACATGCACAACTGGTATTGGAGTGTTCATTCATATGGGCATATGGAAAGCCAGAGCCCTAACACATTTGCTAGTTGCTCTCCCTTCTCACTAGCAGTGCAATCTCTTGTGCAAACCCAGCCTCAGGATGAGTCAGTTCAACACCGCATTCTCCCTCCCTCCCCTCCCTGTCTTCCCCCTCCCAGGTGTCTTGTGTTGCTTCTGCTTTAATACAACCAGCTGCCTGGTGCTCTGGGCTCCTTCCACGGCTCCTTCTACATGGAGACTTGTGACAGAAGCCACCACCATGACTCTGTCAGGGGTGACCTGGACTTTCCACCTGCCAGCATCGGGTGCTGTGCCATCAGCTGCCAAACTGGCACGGCTCCACCGGCTGCGGCAGCTGAGCGTTTCTCTTGTCACTCAACCCAGGACATCTCCATGGATTCTGATAACACATCTGCTAATTAATGCCAGTTGTGATCATTGGTCAGATCCTCATCTGGGATAAATTGAAATAGGTCCATTTAAGCCTGTGACAATTAGTGGCAGCTTAGAGCTGACCCGGTGCTTTTCTCTATAACATGAATATATGTCTTGTTGAAAATGAATAAAACTCACCAAAAAAATTGCATAAAAACTATCAAATGAACAGCAAACGAAATGATTGCCAGTAACTCCGAGACCAGGCCAAATTACAGCGGTGACAAAGTGATAATCGCAGGTATGTTAACAATTTTCTGAGCTGTCCAGGCTCCTTATAATAAAAATAATAATAATAATAGACATGCTTCTGGATACATTCATCCTTCTGCAAACAAAGAGTTTGTCTTTAAAAAAAACATACTATCAGGAAATTTAAATGTGATTCTGCTAACTTGTAAGCAGAGTGTTTTACATTATAACAATAGAACTGATAAAATCTATTCTTTAATTCAGTTTTTAAGACCTATAAGCCCAAGAATTTTCTTGGAGGTCTTTTTCTGCCATTTGTCAAAATTTCATTTCAATTAATACTTCCACCCTGTTAGGTTGTATTGCCAATCCTCCCAACCATAAAAAACAGAGATGTAGTAAGTATTGAATCCTAAACAGAGGTAAGTAAGGCATCCTGAAAAGAAAGAAAAAGTTTGATAGGTTGTGTCAAAAGGAACCGCTGTTATAATTTATTATTTGTTAAGCAGTGACAATATGCTCAGTTCTGCTGATTAAGTTTTTTTGAGCAAGTTCTACTGATTATCTTCTGAGGGCAACACACTTTACTACAAAGAAGATATGTGACAGCTATCAAGACTTTTGCTTTCAAGACTCACTTAGTAAAACAATTACATGCCAGTTATGCAGGTTTTATGGAAAAAAAAAGAAAGAGAAAATGCATAAACTGAGTAAATATCATGACTTTTGTGTTCACTAATTTTCCTACTCTAGATCTCTCACTTCAGTACTGTCTGACAACCTCAAAGTTACACTGAGATTTGAGGAAGATCTAAAGCCTCATCCCTGCTTATCTTCAGTTTTTAAGCATCATACTATATCAGAAGCAACCACACAGGCTGTATCGTTAGGATCTGTCTTTGGATCTGAGACTCACTCCCTGGGAAGGGTAGAGTTGGCTGAATGGGGCCAACCTGAGACAGACAAAAATCTGAGCAGTTCCAGACTCACACATACATTTCCTTCACGCCACAAAGACAGAGCTAGCCAGTGTTCTACTCGTAGGTGGTGACCTGACCTTAGAAAGACTTTTGGAGATGCAGGTGCCACAGGGCAGCATCTTTCATATCCTGCTGGGTTCTTGCTAGGCTGTCAGGGCTGTTTCTCTAGCAGACCTACTGTTAAGTCTCTCAGCCCTGAGACACAAGCACATTTTTAGAGGGCACCTAGGAGCCAGGGATGTTGGGTTTCTGCTGGTTTAGAGCCATTGCAGCTATTCTATTTCTGAGAGTCCAGGTGAACTTTTCACTGGTTTGTATCTACTTCAGCGTGTAAAGGAAACAGTTTTTTTCTCCACCTTTACACTTACATCATTTGTGTACAGCTTACCTCCTGGGTGGCTGATTACCCAAAACAGGCATTTGATGGCAAAGTAATGTGCATGCATCTGTGTGTACTCACAAAGGGGTGGGGCTGAGGACTGCTCTAGGAAACCTCTGGCCACATTTGCATGTCAGGAGGGTGCCAAAGAGGCATTGTCCCTTGCCCCAGCCAGGCAACACCTATAGGCTTTCAAACCACAACGGTACCAGAGTTCCAGCTGCGCAGATGATCTTAGAAGAAAAATTTCCTTTTGTCTGCTGCTATCCTTTAGCCTACACACTTCTCTAAATCCCACCAGCATGCTTTTTTTTTTATTGTCACTGACAGAGAGAAGTGAATTCTTATATAAATCCTTTGTGTGAAGATCAAACTGCGCCATGTAGAACTATTATTTTTTTAGGGGAAAATCTGCCCTAAAATAATCATTCCGTGTTATCCTCACAGAGCGTCTGTGCTGCCTTTTAAAATGCATTCAAGGCCACCCTCAAGACCAGACAGTGCTGGCAGGCAGTGAGCTGCAGCTGAAGTCTCTGTACATGCGGGGAGGGCAGACCATGGGCAGCCCAGGGCAGGATTGGGGTCAGGGGCAATGCAGCTGGAAGAGACCGTAATCTGAGTTGCTCCGTGCAGACAATGTCAGCCTTTGTACTGATAGAAACTTGTGGGGCAACGTGGGAGCTGGGCTGGGTCATGTGGAAAAGGTGTTTCTTTACCTAGTCAGCTTGGACTCCTCAAACATCCAGCTGGCAGACCCCGAGGTTTCAGTTAAATCTTGTAAGTTAACATTAGTTTGCTAATAGACCAAGAAATGGGGGATTTGATTGAGAAAACATAGCCTTTCATTCATAAACTTGGAAACCCTTGTAATGGAAGGAGAATCAGTAAAAATGATCAACTGATAACAGTACTACTGGGAAATCCTATTAAAAAAAAATTAAGGAAGAAAACCCCCAAACAGTAGTACAACAACAGTTTTAGGATCAATTTCAGTGCTGCTTGATGTTTCACTATTTAACAATTTGATTACCAGCTAGAAAAATTATCAGGTATTAGGTAGAGTGAAGCCCCCCAAGCACGGAGGATTAGTATGACTCACTGTAGCAGCTTATCCTTGGGAAGCCTCCCTCTCTTCCTCCTTCATCTTTCTCTTCTTCTTTCTCGCTTCCTGTGCTCCCAATTGCCTTGAATACAATACAGGCAGAGTTTTACAGCCAGCTCTAATTTTCCCAGAAGGTGCAGCTCTTAAAAAACAGCACAAGTTCTTTTACTCAGGACCGTAAAAATGGACTTGCACTCCAAGGAAAGCATCTAAAAGACAGATGAACCAATTCTATTAAAATAAAAACATCCTACCTCTGTCCATCCCCCAGCAAAGTTTATGCCAAAGCTGGAACTAAACCCTAATCTAGCCTATATTAAAGTGGAGAAAAATCAACTTCCTTTCACTCCCCTATTCATTTTCCACCACTGCAATTTACTAAATTTCAGGCAAGCCCATGACCAAGAACAACAGGGCCAAAAGGGGCTGGATGTGCCATATTCCTGGCCCAAATGGAAGCAGGAAATACTAAACATCTTTCATGGAAGCCTGTTCTCATCAGGTTTATAGCCCAGCTTTTTCCATCAAAAGCAGCAAGAAGAGTGCACAGTTCAGAAATGCATCCAAGCATATGGGAGTCTATCTACACTAATCCTCCTTTTGAGCTTCATCCAGCACTAAATCAGAGCCACACCGGAGAGAGGAATAATGCAGTAACTTGTGGAAAAAGCATGGCTCTTCTCTATTAAAATAGGGAAAATCAAACATGACTCTCTTTTCTCCTTAAAAATTGTTGGAGGAATACCAACAGCATTAAGCATGGCAGAGACTGGGGAAAAAAAAAAATAGGTCGGGTGCCACTGCAACTTGACTGCCTGAGACTATAGAACCCCGTGCACAGCAGGCTACATGCTCAGGGCAGTCATTGCTGGGAAAGCACCAACAGCAGCCTTGGAAGAGTAACATGGTAACTATACAGATGACAAAACTCCTCTGCGAGGATACGGAAACACTTTTTTACAGAGTTAACCTGCACCATGATCAGAGTATTGTGGCTGCAGCCACCAACTCTCTAAGTCCTCTGAGAGTACCACTGCAAGAATTCAGGGGAGGGAGTGGTGCACAGCCTTATTTTCCCCACCAGAATACACGATGCTCTGTCTGTGGGAGAGAAAGGGCTTTGCTGAGCTCATCAGAGGACAAAAGGGTCATATGGCTGTGGCAAGGCCATCAGTGCTGGCTTGGATGTGGGAACAGAACAAGCAGAGCAGTGACACCCTACTCCCCAGCACAGCCTCACCTACTGCAAGCTAAAGCAACCAAAAAATGAAGCAAGACTAGACCTAGACCAACTGCTTGAGACACTGTAGCAGCAGTAGCTGTCCAGGGCTTAAGCCCTTCATTGCTTTTTCTCTATGTTCAAAGCAAAAAAACCCATTTTTATAAGAAGTACAACCCTGCTCCACAGCCTCCAAATACCACTTTCTGGATCTCAGACAGGGTAAAGAAACAAAAGTGTTCAACAGGAGTGCCTCAGGAGTGCTGATGGGTTAGGGAGCTAAAATGAGCTGTCAGCTGACAAAATAATGTGGGTAAGTCAGGGGTACAAGTCAGGAAAGGGTTTGGCTAAATGGAGACAGGAAAAATAAATACAGCTCCAAGCACGCAAGCAGGTACAAGTGTAGAGTCAGCTTAGGACTTGCAAACAGCCTATTGTTTCCATACCTAAGTATCTCCAAACTAGAATTTTCTTGATCACACATATTGCCTTTTCCTAATTAAAACTGAGAGAAATCATATTTATCTATTTTCTAAAAGAAAGAAATCAGTATGTGACACCCTATTCTTGAAAATTACTGACTAGAATCTCATTTAGCATAACTCAGCCTTGCTATCATTGAATCATAGAATTACAGATTTGTTTGGGTTGGGAGGGACCTTAAAGACCGACTAGTTCCAACCCCATTGCCATGGGCAGAAACACCTTCCACTAGACCAGGCAGCTCAAAGTCCCATCCAACCTGGCCTTGAATAGCTCCAGGGATGGGGTATTCTCTGGATAGCCTGTTCCAGTACTTTACCACCCTCATAGTGAAGAATTTCTTCTTAATATCAAAACTAAAACTACATTGACATCTACAAAGCACAGTATCTTTAGCCCAGCTTAAGATCTGCTCCCATATGCTGTTTCTTTAGAACAACTTGTCTTCCCCTTTTTCTTTTTTTTTTCTTTTTTTTCACAATATGCATCTGGTTTAAGGTGACTTTTTCTTTCCCAGCATATGGAGCTGAATGATTATGATGATTTACATTTATTTTAAATCACAGCCTATTAAATGGAAAAATAAATGCTAATATGTTGATATGGTTTACTTCTGAATGAATTATTGATATAAATGAGTAGTTGCTGCTATCATAATTACTGTTTATTAAATAAATATATTTTGAATTAGAGACCCTTGATTAAGAAATCACATTTTTGTCTGAAAATTGTTTCCCTGCTGCTAGTATAAGAAATACCTCACATTACTTTATATTAAAAAAAAAAAAAAAAAAAAGACGGTGAAATGATTCTTTTTTTATCTTTTCCTTTGCTCTGTGAACTTGGCAGCGCTTTGTGCATATTCCCTTTCACTGCTTCACTCCTCTAATCAGTTAAGTGAGGCTCTTTCCCCTCTGTTGTTTGTGTGGATCTGTCACATAGCACCTAGAGACACAAAAAACCATTTTAAATAGGCAAATGCAAAACACAAAAACTAAAGGATTAAGGATCAGATATCTGAAACTCCTCTCAACATTTTCTTTCAAGCTGAGCACGTTTCAGATTAATAGTGACTCTTTAACATAAATAATGATCTAATGAAATAACTAGGAAATCGAAAGAATCATAAAAAGACTTTTACATTTAAGAATGCCATCTGTGTAACACTTAGCCTAACAATGAAATCATTTCAGTGCCAGAACAGCTCACTCCGCTTCTAGCACAAGTTACAGGAGAGGGTAATGGCTTTGCAGAATGGCATAAAAGTCTGAGTTCAATCGCAGAAGGAACACCTGGGTTCAAACTTCCTGCACTTCACACAGACAATGGATCTCACACATGAGTTTTGAACTCTCCCCTGCTAATATTTCCACCTTGAGTCATCACGAATTTTCACACAGCTGCCAATTTTTATCGCAAGCAAATTTAGATATTGGAGAAGATTTTACGGGTCAGCACGAGGGGAGGTTGCAAAAACCGTTACACTGATTCTCTGCTTTTCAGCTGTGCAGTCCAGAGTCAGTTTTGTCAGACTGAAGTGGACCTCACTCAGAAACAAGACCCTGTTTTAATTATATCTGTAGCAAGAAAAATTTGTTCATAAAGCATTTAGGATTTAACACCAGACCTAATGTCAGTTTTTAGGACAGTGTCCTAAGGTACAGGTCTGTCTGGGCATGCAGTGGGAAGCTCCATGTCACAGGATGGAGATGCCATTTTTGTGAACAGGGAAGCCAAGCTCTTGCTCTGTGCAAGGCAGTGCAGCAGAGCCACAGGGAACACAATGGAGATTGTTTGTTTATACCAGCCCTGGAGAAGGGAACATATTTGTTTTGAGTGAGCTGTGTTAGAATACATATTGTTGTATATGCCCAGGCCTCATTACGCCATGCTAGTCTTCAGTATGGATCAGATCCTAAAACTGCTCGACATACTGAAATAAATGTGAGTTCTACCCACAGAACATCTCCAGACTTAGGCCTCGTGTCTGTCAATGTCATCTCAAAAAAAAAACAAATGTTCAAAGAAGAAAAACAACAAAAGTATCTTAGAGATTGTGGAGGATGCTCACATGTGGTAGATGCCATTCAAGGGGATGCTGAGGAATTACTTGGAGAGAGAAAAATCCGTGTACCAAGACTGGAGTAGAGAGTGGGCCTGAAAAAAAAGGAGAGAGAATTAAGTTTCATGGGAAGAAATATGGCTTTTAGAAGTTATTCTGAAACCGAGAGGAAATTCTTCCTTCGCATGAACGATGTGGCCACATTAACATCTCCTTGGGTAAAGGTGGCCACAGCCCACATTTTGCTTAAAGATATAATCGTGAGGGCATTCATAGAGGAAGAGTTAAAGCGCTGTTCAACAAACAACCTGAAGTGCTGTACACTGTATTCATATAAGGGAAGGTATGAGCCAACGGAAAGAGATATTCAGCTGCAATCAAAGAGGATCTGAGTCTAACTGAGTGCTCACATGACAGCTGGGATCATTTCGGATCCCTTCCAATGAAGATAAAATAGCATCAAAAGCAGGGAGGCTTTTTTTCTTTCTTTTAAGGATGAAAACACAACATCATTAGTCAAATTTACTCTGAACTTCCACCTTCTCATGTTGATTTGTACTCAGGTTCAGTAAACATATCTTTCCATCAAGGTAAATAAATGTAAAAGCCTATGAGTAACTTAATTGCTTAAGGATGGATGCAGTGTGGGGTGTAACAGTGTTTCTGACTATACTGTTGAAGTTAACGACCTCTCAAAAATACCTATTATACAGCTTGGCAGTAAAAAAAAAAATCTGTTCCTTCTTGAAAATCTGCTTACAACATTTCAACCACTTTCCAATCGTTTTTTCCCTAGTATTGGGGAGGAGATGGAAACGTCTGAGGCAAATTTTTGAGGTAGACCCATGTAAAATGGAGTTTATTCGTTTAAGATGCCATCCTTTGAGGGCCTGCATGGCACAGAGAAATTAAGCTTGAGAAAAGTGGGGACCCCACAGTGAGGGCTAAAGTTACATAGAGTGTAGGAAAGATCTCCAAATTAAAATGGTCACGGTACTGAATGGGACCATTCAGCTGGGTGAGTGGGGGGCCCAGTCCACAGATGTCAGGCAAGAGCCTGATCTTGGGTACGTAGGACACACCTAGGGACATCTGGGAATGTGCCCTCCTGTGTCCTTGCACACCTAGTGCCCTGGATCGAGAAGGACCCATGGGAGAAAGCAGTTGTTCCCATTAAAATCAAGCCACTTAATAGAAGTACAGGCAAAATCAGCTCTCCAGTGAGAGGACAGTGAGGGAGGAGGGTATGCCAAGTGTCTGAGAGTGAAATCTGGCTCACGGTGGGCAGGCAGGCAGTGTGCAGAGGCACAGCTGCCAGCCTGACATGATGGATCAGAAAACATACTAAGGAGCTGCAAGAGTCCAGGCAACTGAAACAAAGCAAAACACGAAAAGGCAATAGGTCAGCCCATCTTTACAATCTGTCAATTAAACAATCATCCACTTCCAAAGGAGTATGATGTCTTAAGCAGTACACATCCCAGCACATGATTGCTACTGTGATGGGAGTGACAGGCTTACCAAAAGCAACGAATAATAATAATTAGTAGTGGTGCTAATAATTTAGGTTAGGTTGTTCCGTAGTGAACCCCTCTGAGGAAATAACATGGTTGGGCATTTTGGCTTAATTCTATAGTCCCATACCAGCTTTACTCAGCCTAGTGGAAAACAAAGGTGTGTTCAAAATTGTCCATTACGTGGGAGGCTTGTGCCAAAATCTCACCCTCCTTCACTTAGGCAGCACTGGTGAGCGCCACGGAGCTGCCTTCACCTGCTTCCTCCAAAACCATGAAGCTTTCAGAGACATGCATTTCTGCTGGCATCAGTCAACAGCTCATTGTTAGGATTTGTTCTCATTGACATGCATGAACTGAGACTGATGTACAGGGTGATCTAGAGTGACAGCCTTCAGCCCTAAAAGTGGATACCTGCTTCCCTTATAGAGTCCAGGGACTCACACTTGACTCAGAAGGATATACACAAAAATTATCTTTCCTCTCTCATTTGCCTGTGTTAAGCCTAAGTGTGTTCAGCCAAATTAGCAATCAGGCAAACTGTGCATGCAGAAATCTGCACTTGTACAAACTGCATTTTTTTTTGAAACATTCCAAGATTAAATATCTTGACAAAAGATGAAAACCCTTTAACAAATCTGCCCCTAGAGAAAAGAAACATTTTTTTTTTATTCCATTTACTGTCATATGACATATAGTTGAACACAGTCCTATAGGTTGATTTGTTGCTTTAAATAATGTCACTAGCATCCAGATACTAATGTGATGGTGCAGAAAAAAAAGTTCACATTGAGCTAGATTCAATTACAGACCTAGAATTGAAATTAAGTCTGATGCTAGATGCTTAATTCATGTTTGTGTGACTGAGAAAGGGAGTATCTGGTTTACCTTGAATTTCCTGCCTTAGTGTAGTGAAAACATGACCCATTGCATTAATTAAAAAATAGTTTTCAAATGTAACTTAAGTGGTATTGCACTGGCAGGAGGAGACAAACACCTTTTTGTCCTTGACGTGTTATGTGATATAAAGGAAGCTGTTCAATAGCTTTTTTCTTGATTCCTAGGTAGGTCTTACAATTTTCATTGAAGGAAAGGAAAAAGGTATGATGACATCTCACAGTGAGAAGCCAAAGATCCATCTTTAATAAAAAAAAAAAATTAAGCATTCATTCCTCAAAATCCATAACCCTCTTCTGACCACACCATTTGAAACAGGTGTCTATAGGCAGTTATCACATATGTCATGTGCATCTATCCTTATCTCATTCGGGTGTTACACCCAGGTTGATATGTTCACAATTAATACCCCCAAATCCTCTATCATAGCAGTGGACTTTGAACGAGCACACGTTCGACTACTGATTTGACATATGTGGCTGGGACTAACTTTTCTCCTAATATGGTGATGGCACAGGCACTATTTAAATGATTCCTGAGCCTTGTAAATATACACCAGATGTATCTTTTGTAAATGTTACATTTTTCAACATCTCAGCATTTGTGAATAGTTGAAAGCGATGCCAGCCATGCTTTAATGGGGCACAGAAGCATACTGCATTCAGAGAAATGGCACACCATTGCAATAGTCAAAATTACAAGTGCTGTCAAAAAGCTACATTTTCACTTTATTGATTAGACCAGGTAATGCAGCACTCCACGTTGCACCCTCATACGTGCCTCTTTCAGCTGATGATGTTTCCCTGCACATGGGTACACAGAGAGCGATGTGGAGCTCCCAGGGCTGCTCTCAGGAAGAAGGGCAGATAGCCCTGGAGAGTCACATGTGCCCCTGTCCCAACCACCACGATGGTCAGAGATGGAGCAAGAAGGGCTGTGTGGACCACCACTCCTGCAGCCGTGATCACCACCCACTACCAAGAGCAACCACAGGGATGTGCCCACCTTCCAAGAGCTGGGGAGGGAGCAAGGTGCACCTTTCCACTGGCACTGATGCAGTTTGAGGCTGCATTGATACTCTTTTCTGTGGCTCAGGCTCCTGTTCCTTGGTCCTTCCTTGTTGCTGAGGCAACTCAGCACAGGGAGAGGCATCTCCTGCTAGGGACTTCTCGTGGAGCATAGGGTGAATTCATTCATCTGTAATGAATTCATTGGGTGAATTCATTCAGCAGTAAGAAGAAGCCATCTCCTGGGTTTTCCCAGACCTCTCTTTTTCCCTAAGCTTTTCCTGGCTTTCCTGTGTCATTGTAGAAATCTCACAGAAGACCTAGAAGCACCTGTATGTAACAGGTTATGGGAAATGTCCATTTCTACCTCCTGGCACTTGCCCTATCCATCGCCACCACATCCTGACTGCCCCAGTGGTCTCCCTGTTAGCACCAGGCAGCAAAACGAGCTGTCAAAAATCAGCCATCACATTTGCCTGAAAATGCACTTTTTTGCAAGATTTGTCCCCCAACTGTCCCACAGATAAGAGGAAAGGCCTTTATAATATTGCACAGTTACTATTATTTGCAAGGCAGAGAGCTTTTGCTCAGTGAATTTTTTGCTGGAATTGCACAGTGCCACTCAGTCCAGCAAATCAGCTAAAATCAGAGCTAGGTGACAATAAACTTAGAGGGAATGGACTAGACATAATGCCCCACTACAAGTATTATTTCCAAGTTCACAGGCTTGCAAATTAAAATGTCCCTGGATCACTGCCATAAAAAAGAACATTAAAAATCAGGGGAAGAGGTCTGGGCATCTGTTAGAAGCATCTAATATATACCAAGTGTGTATGCTGAGCTTCTTAGATATACGCGTTGCTGAAATACAGCCTACAATTAATGTAAAAGCAGAAATAGTTTAATTGTATTTTTCCATTTGATATTCAAATGAAAAAATATATCTTATTAAACACAACACTTGGCTTTGCTATTTTAATAAAAAATAAGTTGTTGAGGAAAAGAAAAGCAAAACTACTGATTCCTTTCCTTATGATGATCAAATGAGTCTTTCATGTTTGTATCTTATACTTCACTTTTTAGCATTTCGAGGCAAATAGCAGATATCAAAACTTAGTAAATAATCAAAGACTTATTCAGTTTTCCAAACTGTCATGCTGCTTATCTTGTAATAACTGATCTCTTAGGTAGCATAAGCTATTTAATTGCTACTGAAGATTATTTGAATGAAAAAAGAGACGACATTCTCCCTTACCCCTCAAAAAGACAAAACTATATTCTTCAAAAAGACACATGCCGACAGATAGATTCTGATCTCTTCTACACATGCACAAGTGCAGTAGCTAATTTTACAAGATATGATAGGAGCTGTGTATCTGAGATTACACCCTGTACTGCTGACTGCACATTCCACATGGAAAATGACTTAATTTGGAAATAACCTTTGTTGCTGATAAATCCAGACTCTGGGCATCCGAAATTATTAAATTATTTTTAAAAACTGCTCCTGCATTTTAAAGGGACTTTTTACAGTGTTGGCAAAGTGCGTATTCATGTATCCCCCCTGACATGATAGACTGTAATGGCTCCAGTCTGTCATGTCAACCATCTGCATATTAAACAGTCCCTAAGTACACATTGACATAGCAGACCCTAATAGCTCTGTAGCCGTAACAATCTATTGAGTCAATAATATGCATGTTAAAGAGCATCTCCTCTACTTCCATCAATATCTTTTATCTTTTCCTTAATTTGTATCTTCTTTTTATATGTATATTCAGAATTAAAGTTTCAGGAACCTTTATCCTTTAATGTGCTGCCGCAGATGTGAAACATGTGGCACAGAGAGGCACATGCAGTAGCAAAATCATTCCTTAGTATCTGGGCCAGACCTTAAAATAGGGACTATAATATTTTTATGCCGGCAGCACACATTCTTCCAGATAAGGGGAAAATAGCCCCCTTTTTCTGCTAGGCTGGACCTGGTGCTGGTGAAAAGCCTGGGAAAGGTTCCTGATGATTTCACAGGCTTTGGATGAAGCCCAGTGTGATGATACTCATTTCCTATTATACATTTCCTTCTAATTAAATGAAATAGGTCACCAGGGGAAAATGAAACAAAAGACAAATGTATTTACTTACAGTAATATCAACCCCCCAAAAAAGACAATCAGAAACAAGAGAAAAGGTAATACAAAACACACTGTCTTTTCATTAACTCAAAATTATGTCTGGTACCACAGTCTTAATTCATTCCCGTGTGATCCCAAGATCTTTTATACCATGGAAGAGGGAGACTATTATTTAAGCATAAGAAAACGGTGACTTAACCACTTTTGTCTAAAAAAAAAGATAGAAAAATCTTAATTTTCTTTTCTTCAACTTCACATCACTGTACCATGCTGTGATCCTCTCTCACTCTCATCAGAGAACTTTCCCAGCTTCTTCCACTCCTCTTGCTTTTTGTATTCATCAGGATTTGGCTCACTTTTAAAAGTGAAACCGAGGTATAGTTTGTTTCCAAAAGGTAGACCCAAGGACAGGGAGGCCACTTGACCCTATCGGCAGATCTTAGTTGGCCTGAATTCCCCTCTCCTTTCCACTAATTTGACACCGATGTATCTTTGATGCACGTAGGGATTTATTCCAGTGTATTCTTGATTAACTTTCATTCCAGGGAGGGCAAAATCAAGCTACTCTCCCTATTGCTTTCCAGGAGTGTGCAATTCATCCTCCCCCTGCCTTGCACCATTTCATGTCACCAGGTACACCAGACCAAATCATCTGCTTCTGTGCCTCATTCGGGGCAGCATCCCCTCACCTCATGACAAGCACTGAAGGCACCTGCCCTCTGTTAAGTCCTCAGTAACTTCTTGTAGCCAGCTTTTCTTCCCAATGCAATGGCAGAGAAGCTGATCAGATGCCTGCATGCATGCCCAGGGATGTGCCCAACCATGGGGCCAGTTCTCAAAGCCCCAGACTAGTGCATACATTTCATCCTGTGTGCTACTCTGTGAGTTATCAGGACAGGACTTCCTAAACTGTGGATAGTACAGTACTCACACAGCCATGCTAATCATTATTTGAGCTTATCTACTGAAGATCTAGAAATCAGATTTGATTTAGTTTTGGATGGATACATTTTTTTCCTAAATGAAAAAAAGCTATTGAAAAAACCAAAGCAAATGAACAAAAGCTAAAGAAGGGGTGCAATGAAAAAAAAAAAAAAAAAAAAAGTTAAAAACTGAAAGTCTTGTTATCTACCTTGCCTGTATTTCCCTTAGCTGAGGGAGGCAGCCCAAGTGGAGCTCTGGAAAGCTTTTTCCTGTGGGAAACAGTTCATTGCCAACTCCCCTCTGTGATGCTATAGTTCAACACAAAATTAGACATGAAGCACAGTCCTCTCTGCAATATTATGAGTACAGCCATGTCCATTTGAGGAAAATATGGACCTAATACAGGAGTTCTCCTTTGCTATTCACTCTAGTCAGCTCTCATACTTGCTGTGTAGCAACCTGACATCCCAGACCAGTTCAGCCCTGGTGAAGGCAGGAATGTCACACAGCAATGACACAGCAGCTCTGGATTATTTATGACACCTATCTTACTCCTTTGGTTCTTCTATTTGTTCCTGACAAGTCTTGTAGGCTTCTCAGCACTTAACAGTTACCAGACAATGGTAAAGAAGGACAGGAGGAGGGCTGCTGGCCACACAGCCAGAAAGAGAGTCCTTTAACACAAATCCTCTGCACTGAGGATTACTGGGTTGGGTAACTCTCACTCTGGGTGGCCAGCACTTCCAGAAATTTAAGTGGAGAGGTCACCCAGTCCAACCCCATGGACTTAAAGCAACCGATACCTGCCACCAGGCAAAAGAAGAGCCACCAATCTTGGTCAGTAAATGAGACAGGTAAAGGTGATGAAAAGAGGGCAACTGAAAGAAACACAATGCCATGGACAAAGTGTTTCCTGTTCCCCCAGCAACTTCCTTGTGCATGCTACAAATGCAAGGTGGGCTCTTCAGGAAGGGTGTCGCTTCCTCCCACCATGTCCCCCTCCTGCACAGCCTGTCTCATGCCTGGCTGCAGCTGAGTCTACTCCAAGCTGTCCTGACCCCGAACGGAAAGATTCCCAGTAACTCCAGTGAAGAGGGGTCTGTATCCTTAGTCAAATGTGGGAGAACAAAATTTGGGCAGGGCTATGATTTCACTGCCTGTGTGCATAGAATGTCTCTTTTGCTATACAGAGGAATGCTGGCCACCCTTCCCACTTTTTTGGTTCTCAATGTTCATCACTGCACCTGGAGTTATCTCCCATTTACCAGGGAGTTGATTTAAGTGTCTGACTCAGTCACATATGTTTGGCTCCCTTATTCAGAGTAAGATTTGGCCTACTAGCTGTGAAAACAGCTTATATCACATGTGCTGCAAAGCCTAGCCAGAACAGGCTGAATAAAGGATGAAGTTTAATCATGGAAATGTTGACCTACAAATAGAGAACAAAATGTTAAACCACATGGTATAGGGTGCTGCACGCCCCAAATATCAAGGAGGGGAAAGAAGAATTGAACACATTTGGAAAGTAAAGCTTACTGTTTGGGGTTTGGTTGTTTTTTTTTTTTTTTTACTTTTCTTTCTGCATATTCAGAGAGTCAGACCCACACTGTTCCCACTCGCGATGACACCCTGGCATCTGAAGAACAACATGACACCCACCACAAAATGCTGCTGTTGGCTGGCACCGTCTAAAGCAATGAGGTTTGGTGAAGAAGGTGAGACTGCCAAAGGCAGGCGAGTGGTGCTGTCACAGAGAGCGGGACCTGACCGACAACGTGACTCCAGGCTATAGGTGGACCTGTACAAACTGGGGAGAGGTAAATGTGATGAGACTTGAATGGCCCTTTCATCCCATGTCCTTGAAAACTAGCAGTGGGCTACCTCTTACAGCTGGGGAGTGTCATTATTTACACACCACCTTTTACCTGGGACCTTCTCACCTTTGTGCGTTTCACATAAAGAAGGGTAGGTTTTTTGTCAGAGAATCCATTTCCAATTTTAACCACAGCCATCACACAAACAGTTTGTCTCACAGGATGTAAAAACTTTATCACAGGCTTTATTCACCAACATTTAGGGGCTTGCAAAAGACAAAGAATAATTTTTTTAATCAACCATCTTAATTTCAATAACTCAGGGGCTTTGTCTTTAGGTATACTGCATTTTAGAAAAATACAGTTAACAGCAGCCAGCAAGGCCTTACTGACTGACAACTGTTTCTTTACAGGATTTCTATGTGCCAAGGAGCTGGACAGTAATATCCATTTGGTATTCATGGAAAGTACTTGCAGAACAATAATGACAATAATTGCTTCTGATTCTTGTGTTTACAACACTGCCAAAGTATCATTAGAGCCTTATTTATAGATAATAATGCTTATTAATCACACATATTTGAATTTTGGAATGTATTAGATTAATATTCTTTTGTAACTTGGTTCTGTATTAATGCTATGAAAAGCAGTTTCTGAATGCAGCCCACAGGGAAGTGCTCGCTTCAGAAAAGTAAAAGCATCCAAACCATCTGCAGGTGAGGGACAAAGGGCATACCTCTTCCTCAGCAGGCAAACGCCAAAGCTGGACAGGCCATTTCAAAGAGCAGCTCCTTTGGACTAAAACCTCCTTCAGGGGCAGCCTCTTAAAAAAAAAAAAAAAAAAAAAAAAAAAACAAACCACCATTAAAAGTGTGACAGTAGTGTTATGCTTGAGCTTGCTTTTCCATGCTCTATGAAAGGGTTTGCTTTCTACTGCTTTCTAAAGAAAACTGTTTTCAAGGTGAGAAATATGTCCATCTATCATCTCACTCTTTCTCATCCATTCTACACCATGGGTGAGTTTAGCCTGGACCTCAGGATTCCTTATCAGTCAAGAGGTTGGTAATGAGAAATATGTTACAAAAATCACTTCTAATTTTGGTTATTAAATAATTCCAGCTTTTCTATGTCAACATCTGCTGCAATTCAATAGCATGATAGAAGAAAAACTGATTTTTTACGAAGACAGTTACAACAAGCAAAAACGTCACCCAAATCTAAACACCAACTGCCATATACTCATATTCTCCTTTGTCTCGCTGTAGCCCATTACAATGATGAAATATACACCAAAGCAACTGCAGTACCAAACTCTCTAATTTTTAGTGTGTGGCCAGCTCCATAAATTTGTGTTTAAATAAATAAAATCTGTAACAGTGTAGAATGTCTATTATTATTATTACTGTTATTATGATTATTATTATTATTTTCCTCGAGATAGTTCTTAACATTTACAGAGGGTCTGTCAGTTTAGACACACATTTCCATCTGTTTGTTTTTTTCCTTTTTACCCACTGCTGATGTACCATAACTACTGTAATACCCAAAAATAGGGAAACAGGGAAGGGGTAGTGGGAGATGTTGTATTTTATTCTGTGTCTCTGTTTTGTGTTTTTTATGGTGCTCCCTGCACAATGAGGATAACCTGTTCCTCAGTGTCACAGCCCTATTGTCTCCAGGGATCTTTCACAGTGGCAGCAAAAAGAAATAATTAAAACACAGAAGCTCTAAATTGTGAAGAACACTTGTGGCTTTGCTGCAACTCCCCCAAGCTGCCCCTGACTGATATATTTTAACAGACGAAAATTACAAAGTGGTGTTGCCCCTTTAAAATGTGCTTCACCCATTAATATTCCACTGTGCTTTTGTTACTGTGTTTAGGAAGTGCCAGTATTGAGGTTTCCCAGGAATTTCAAACCTAGCAAGACAGGCAGTGCTGAGCACAGCCCAATCGTTTCCATTCGAAGCCAGGATTTAAATTAAAAAAAAAAAAAAACCAGCAGAGAGGTTAGAGATGAAACCAAAGAGCAAAACTGACATCAGGATGCAGAGGGGAGCCTTGTGGGTTCCACACAAAAAGGTGGTGCAGCCCTCCCACCCCAGGGACCGCAGGTCCTGCTGGGAGCCATGGGGCCAGCTTGTCCTGGGTTTTGCTGGGAGGAGGATCATGGCTTCAAACACCCCTTGCAGATGAAGAAATTATCCCCCGAGTGTGGACATGGGAGGCTCAAAGCGCTGTGGATTGGGCTCCTTTCTCACTTGCAGCTCGACACCATCCAGCCAAAACTGATCCCAAAACCTGAGGATCAGTGCACAGTGTTGCACTGAGGGAACTTTGATCAATAAACAGTTGTGTTTTGGTTCTTCTGCTACTCCTCTTATGCAGAGAAACCCGTAGGCCCAGACGTGTATGACCTGCTACAAGGTTCACTGGCACAGAGACATCTATGGATACTCTTCTCTCTCCAGATATTGATTGCTCCTCAAAACATTTGCTATATTTTCCCTAGGCTTCAGCATGTCACAGTTCAAAAAGCTGTCCCTCTAACAGGTCTTTGAAATCTGCATCTTATTCTTTCCTAACAGTAATAAAAATATATGCAAGAGTTCAGTATGAAGATACTAATTTCAAAAAGTCAAATCAGCAGCATATAAAATCATAATTCACCCTATGCAGATTCCAAATTTCTTATTTTCTTAATTGAGTTATGAAGAATAATTTCCATTATTTCTGTCTGGGTTTTTTTAGGACATTAGTGGTTTAACGATTTTTTTCTACCTCAGACCAAAAGGCAAAGTAAAGAGTTATCACATGGGGAAAGACAGGTTTGTGCTCTATACTCAAAGGGCTGATGCTAAAGATAAAAAAAGACATTTCCAGCTATAGCATTTGACCATTCTTTTCAACCAGAGATAGAAGAAATTTATCAGATTTTTATGTCCACATTTCATTTTCTGAAGAAAAACGGGTACTTTTTTTTTAATACTGAGTTTTCAGAGTTCTCACTGAAGTGAGAGGGTAAATGCCCAATGCCCTTGAAAAATAGTCCCTATCCTCAGTATCCCTTTTCTGTGCCTGAATGAATCTCCAGTATGAAAAAGCTGGCCCTCCCACACAAAATAAGTGGATGACCCTGCAAACACTGCTGCATACCCCAGAAATTTCAGCTCGTGAGTCAGAGTATGCAAAATCAAGTTTCAAGCAAAACCCAGGCTACAAACAGGAAAATTACCTCCCTAATATCAAGTGGAATTGCTACAGGTTATATTTTTAGAATTGTAGATATGGGGTAGGAAAACAAAGAAAAGTTTTGACTGGTTTGTTCACTAACTATATCTCAGTGGTCACAAAGCATTAAAAAGGAATATTCAACTGGAAAAGTTGTAAGCATAGAGGGAGTTTCAGAAGCGTCTATTTGTTGTATCATTTTAGTTGCTATATTTCTCACTAGAACAATATTATTCTACTTGTACTTAGCATTGGTTTTATAGTCAAATAATTATTCTTTCTGCTATCAGATTGAATGATTATTGTGTATTTATCCCTCCAGATATGTATCATTAACATCTCTCTTCCTGATTTTTATATCATTTATAGCTAATAAAATCTGGAATTTGTAGTTTCCCATTGTCTTCATAGACACAAGCAGGAATAAAAATAAAAACATACCTTTTCCTCAAGTAGTCTGCTAACCAAAAGGAGAAAAAAATAAGCTTTGTATAGTTCTAAATAGTCCTGTAGGAGTCATATACTTTTACTACGTGCTATATATCTTATGGTTTCTCCTTCTGTTATGACATCTCTGATTACTTTAAAAAGATTTTTCAAAAACGTTAAGGTACAAACCTTTGTATAGAATACTTTTAGTATGCTTTTTATTCTGACAAGATTAATAATTATCCTATAAGCATGGCACAGTGTTCTAAAATGTTTTTTCTGCTATGAGTTAGCATTGTGCACATGGGTATAAATGTGGAAAGAAAGGTTATTTCACTGCAGAGAAATGTATATTTAAACAAACCATGATTAAGTGGTAAAACTGAATAAAAGGGAAAACATGATTTTTTCCCATCACAGTTAGTCTGAATTTAAAATATCTGCAGTGAGTTTCCAAAGGACACTAGGCATTTGCAATGAAAACACAAGCTACTGAAATTATTGGGAGATAATTGAGAGAACCATAGCAAGCGTCCCAGAGCTTTGGGCAAAATTGTCCAGAAAGAGATCTGCTTGTGTAGCAAGTGACAACCATGTCCCCTCTCCTCCAGCACCAACCTGTCGTCTTCTGTGGCACCTGCAACTAGCTCCTAGTGGGAGCAGCTAAGTAGGTGGGAACCAGGCTATGGACTAACCAGACTTTGCTGTCCTTCCACAAGACAGTTCATAGGCACTTAAACTCATGGCAGACTTAGTCCTTCCCAGAACACACAACTACCCTTTCAGACGCATCCAACACTTTCCATTGATGCAAAGACATGTTTGGGTTTTGTTTTAGTTTTCTTTTTTTTTCCCCAATTGATCAAAATGCCCAATCATACATACCCTGCATATCATTCCAATCAGACAAAACTCCAGGTGGTTTCAATGAATACAAAAAGGAGGATTTGGCCCATTTTAAGGAGCACAGGTTTGACTTCCAAAGGCTGAGCTGCACCTGCTCGTTGGAGCAGGACAGTGAAACATTTGAGCCAACAGATTTTGAACTAAGAAGAGAACCAAGAGTGACACTTTGTCCCCACTTAAACCAATGGCAGGGCAGGCAGTGGCATCCCAATTTGCCCCTGTCCTTCAGTGTTGGGCTTCAACACTGCTACCCTCTTTCTACTAACTTTCCTTGCAGGAATAATTTTAAAATAATGTAATGCCAAGTGCCAGAGGGTTCACTTTCTACAGCATTAGGCTGAATCATATCAAGTCCTGTTCTAAATATTAAATATGACTCCATTTCTTCACTTCATATTTTTATAAAGCTTCTGTTGTGGTATGGTTTCACAAGGTATAGAAGCCCATGTGGGTATTATGGGCCATATCAGTTCATTTCATCTCCTTAATCAGCTACTTAAAAATGTTTTCCTTGCCCAGTAGAAAAAATAAACGTTCTTTTTTATCATTTTCCAAATTAAATTCATATTCCATAATGGCTGTATTTCATGTACAAAATTACAAAATATGCTTACGTACATGACTTCCCTCCTTTCGTGAAGTGCTTCATTTGTAAAATGTTGCATATAAAATTGGTACCTAAAATGAATTACTTGTTTTTTCTTGATGTGAAACCTTGTTTAAGTTCACAGCAATTTTAAATATGATACATTTAAAATATTAATATTTCCCATATATTATTCACTGACTTTCAGGTTTCATCTCAAGTTAGTGGCACTTCATATTTCAAAGGAAGAAGTGTTTCTTTTTTTCAGTACTAATGTTCTATTAATTCACTTTGTAATATCATTTTGGTTCAGACAAATGAAATTGCACTAAACTGCTTATGCCAAGAATCATGCTAAAGTTGTTGGCATTATATAAAATTTCATATTTCATTATTATTTTATAAGGTTTTTATATCAGTGGCATCTTTTTAGGCATAATTCATAGCCCCACTTAGTTACAGAAGGACAAATACTTGAAGAGAGATTTTTATGCTGAGATGGGGTATATATAATGTATTTACAGTAAAGTCTGCAACTTAAGTGACTTTTGCAAAGCACCAGATGCAAACTCCCAGTCAACTACCTTAACAGCTTTTCCTCTATGAACATTTTTTATTTTGGGCAGTTTTCTCTTACAGCATGTTTTTCATCACACACATGTATAAACACGCATGTATGCACACACATACATTTGTCAAAAATAAATTTGTGTGTGCACAGAAATACTTGAAAGGCCTCATATGCATATTATGCAACATATGCCATTCATGTAATCCCTATATATATAAAGAAAATTCATTCTATAGATACAAATAAAATATGTGAAAGAAGTCCTTAAAGGACCTGTAAAGGCCTAAATGTAGATGGATTCTTCATCACATGCAAAGAACTGAAAGATACATGGTCGTATAAAAAGATTGGTTTATATCCATGTATCTTTTATAATTGTTCCATAAAGTCCACATGGCCACATAACTATTTCCAGAGTTGTGGATGAAAGTTACAGTTGGATAGGCTGAAAATCTTTAATGAGTAAAGCAGGATCTAATCCTATTAAATGCCTTGCAGGAGTGAAATAATTACAAAGCGCTGGAGCAAGAGTAGCAAATAGCAATAAAATCACCTGTAAATAGATGTGAGGAACTATGAATACACCACAGTATTTATATAGTTGACTTTCTCTGACTGTCATCGAAATCAGATGTTTAGGACTCAGAAATCCAGCTCCAAAGAATGCAGATTAATATTTTTATCTGAATATATAGTCTGTGCCTTAAACTTTAAGTTTGCAACATTGTTAATAATGTATGTTGCTTCTATAATGCTTAGTATTTGCTCCCTTGGCAATTTTAAAAATAAGATGTTTTTTCCTTAAATTTGATCCAGCTCTTTTAAAAAATAAATTGCAAAATAACTGATGCAAATCCCTGTCACTTGTGAACACAATGAAATTATACAGAGAGGAGCAAATGCAGGAAAGGCTCCTCCTCAAAAATAGAAATGAATGCCCTGTTCCTATACAGTCCTCAAATGCCAGGATTTTGAAATATGAATTAGACTTCGAATGCAAATTAACCTCGGGAGGGGGAGGAGAGGAACAAAAAAAAAAAAAAATCAGAGAGACATACCAAGTCAAACGCTCCTTTTTCTGCCTATCTCGTCCGCAATGGTAAAATAGGCTAAACAAAACAAGTGCACATCAAGATAGAGCCAATTAAGGAATAGAGAGCGGCGGGGGGGGGAAGAGGGGAGAGGGTGGAGAGGAAGGCACCTCACTGAGCACATGGGGAGTGGGAGCTCAGCATCCCACCATACCTACCTTATGAGTGTTCAAAGGAAGACAACTGGGGTAAATTGGAGCCAGCTTTGATTTTTGCCATCCGGTTGCACCCGGGTTGCGGGGGAGTGGGGTGGGGGAGAAGGGTCGGTCTGGGCGGGGGTGAAGGGGGATAAAAAAGGGGGGTTGGGAAGACCGAGCGAGGGTAACAAATGGTATGCAAATGACTGGGCTTTTTCGGGATTGGTTTTGCTTTTTTTTTTTTTTTTTTTTTTGGGGTAGGGGCTGGAGGATAGGAAAAGGGGGGGTATAGAGGAAAAGAGAGACCGTCAGTGGCGAGGTGAGTGTGTCCCTGCACGCTTCGCACACGCGTGGGGGAGGACGAGGGGAGTCGTGCGGGGCGCGGCGGGAGACCGTCGGGGGTCGCGGGCAGCGCTGCCCTTGCGAGGGGCGCGGAGCCGCCGCTGCGCTGACAGCGCCGGGCCGGGCGGGGCGCGGGGGCTGCACATTCCCGGGAGCAGGGGGTGCGCCAAATAGGGGGAGAGGGGTTGTGCGTGGATGTGGCCCCCTCCTTCCCTCATCGCCTCCCTAACCCCCCGACCACTTTTCCCCGGCACGGCTGCCTCACCGCTCCCGGCGGCTCCCCGTTTGGAATTGGAGACAGGCAACTCTCACCAGAGCTCACCAGCATCCCACGGTCCTTAGGAAGGAGTTTGGGGCGGCGGGGGGAAGCGGGCGCGAGGCGGGGGGTGGGGTGGGGGTGTTGTTTGAGAGTGACGGTGAGGCGAGGAGGAGGAGGAAGGAGGAAGGCTGGGAAGAAGGGGGTGGGGGGAGACGGAGCTCCTGAAATGGAGCCAGCCCAAACGGGAGACGATGCTGGAGCAGAGGCTGCGTCATTTCGGGGCTGGGAGAGGGCTCAGCTCATCCCCGCCGCCTCCCTGTCTGCAGGCAGAAGGGAAAGAGAGCGGCAGGCCGGGGCAGGGTGCGGGGTGCTGCGGGGTCGGGGCCACCTCCTCCGCCCGCCCTTCTCCGCAAGCCCCCGGGGCCGGGACGGGGCAGGAAAACCCGGCGCTAGGAGAAGGGATAAGTCGCCTTCGGTCTGCCTAGCTGTATCAGAAAAGACAGGGGCAGGGAGAGGCGAACGGGACGCGTTGACCGCAGGGCAGCGGGCAGGACCTGTCCGGATGGGGGCCCGCAGCAAGGCCGACTCCCGCAGGGGTAACAGGGTCCTGGGACGGCGGGGGTAGGAGGAATGATCGGCTTTTATAACGTCGGGGAGGCTCATAGCCTTTCAGAGAGTTTCAGCTGGGTGAGTGGAAATGCCTTTTGCCCCTTTCACATTTGGAAGCACAGCAGTCTTTGAGTGGGAGGAAGGGGAAAAAAACAATTTTTTTTTTTTCCCCCTGCTGGACAGTGGGTCTCTTTGAGCCTGTTGTCATGTTCTCTGGCCGCAATTATAAATAAACTTTCCTTCTGCAGAAAGGAAGTAGCTGAGACTCAGGGTCTGAAGCTCGTGAATGGCTAGCAGATACCCTGGCCTTTGCTGGCCCATGCCAAAGGGCAGAGGAGGTGGTGGTCTAGCCCTGCACTGAGAGAGTGTGCGTGCAGCATGCTGCGTGTCTGAGGCAAAACAACTGGCCTGGGAACACCTTCTCTTCTGTCAACTATATCCACCTGGTCCAAGGCAGTTTCTTTCTAAAGCTCATCTCCCCAAAGGCTTCAAATGCTCATGTTCACTTATTTTATATTTTTTTAATTCTTTCCCTACCACTCCTGTGGTCTCATATTTAAAAAGGAAAGCTACTCTTGGTGGGCTGAGATCACAGGTGCCATCATGGAGGCCCATGGTGAGCATCAGTAAAAAACAAGAGAGAATTGAGTCCCCAGGCAAGATTACAGTGCTGGTACACAACTGTGTGTATCACTGTCCAAGCCTTTTGCAACATCTGCCACAGCAAAGGTGTTGCATGCAAAGTCCTTAAAATATTGGCCACAGTCATTATTGTTATGTGCATATAGATTTTAGCTTATTTTATGACTGTGCATGTGTGTGTGCAATATATGTGTGCATGCACATACACATTTATATCTATGTATACATTCACTAGTGATGGGCCTGTTAAACTGAGAAGTGATTTCTCTCCTACAGATAGATGTATAACATACACATAGTGATGATACCTAAGGTGTTTGGGAGTGGGGATGCATAATATCTTATAAACTTGAAGTTTTTATCAGGCAGAGCAGATTACTTTAAGCGTTCAATTTCTCAGCGATCCAATTTTATTAGGATTTACTATCATTTGTGCTGTGCATCCCTGGGGAAATAATGCTTTGATTAATGTAATCCTGGGCTGGGATCCGCCACATGCCCCTCTCCCAAGAGATGGGCCCTGTTTGACAAACAAAAACAGAGCAGCAACTATTGCAATCTGCACTCACCTTTTGAAAGCACACAGGCCAGTAAGCAGACACACACACAAAATATTACCCTCTCCTCCCCCCAACCCCAAATACAATAGCAGCATCTCAAAACAATGTGCACTTATTTATTTACACACAATGCCTCTGATTTAGTGTGGTCTGTACAGTCCAGCCCTCAAATGCACAGTGGTAGCCCAAAAAGGATGCTGCTCTGTCCCCCACTGAGAAGCTGAAACATCTCTGGGAAGCTCAATGTTTCTCTGTATTTCAGGCTCTCCTTGGGCTCCCAACATTTCTGCCTCTTTGTTTCCTACTCCAGGCCTTGCTGCAAACCGATTTTAAGTCTACTCCTTCAAACCACTGGCAGCCCATGGGCCCAAGAAGCTGACCTTGCAAGGCTCCCTGGCACCCACCTGGGGGGGACATGTGCCTCTCTAAACGGGCCGTGGTAAGTGAATCACTGCCAGACACTGTACTCAACTCACAGGGAGGTGGGGGGGGACCCAGAAAACAACCTCAAACAGAAAGTCTGTTCATACATTTTAAAGGAAAGAAAAGAAAGTATTCCTCCGCCTTTGGGGGTTGCTGGGGTTTGAGCAGCTTTGTTCCAGCCACAACTCCCCACCACCACCACCACCCTCCGCCCCTTCTGTTTGTGTCAAAGGCTGACAGGAACAATAGCGTTTAAACAGGAATAAACATGCCCAGATCAGAGCCCAGCTCTAGAGAAAGCTCTCCTTTTCTTTACATCCTTAGGTGAACTGGCTGGTGTTTCCCCCTTTTCCCCTTCTCCCCTCTCCCCCACAAAACGACATCCATCAGCAGCAGTCCAAATAGCAGCTTAATGTTGGATTTCTTCCCTTTACCCCGCTGGAACAAAGCGGGTCCCACTGTGCCTGAGGAGGACATCCAGCCCCAAAAAAGGGCTCTGGCTTCACTTCGGCCACTTTATTCCAAGTCCAGATTAAATAAATCCAGGGGAAGAAGGAGGGGAGGTATCTCCAGACTGGAGATGAGGAGGGATGAGTTTTGTGCCGAGGTTTTTAATAAGCTGCTACTCTCTCTCTCCTTCGTGTTTACCCACTGACCCCCAATACGGTGACTCAGCGATTACCGAGCACTGGATGTCTGTGTGTGAGGGGCTGGGGGGGGAATTCCTCCCCCTTTCCTCCTTCCTTTCTTTCCTGATGAAAAACGTTGCAATTACATTTCTGCATGCTGATGTGAGAGTTCAAATAACAAGCCCTAAACGCGTTATCAGGCGCTTGTTAAAGGGGGAAAAGGGGAGTGAAGAGGGGAACAAATCCAGATGCATATGCTTCTGTACACGCCTGTATGTAAGTATACCTATACAGCTGCACACTTATATGTGCAAAGAGATACATATTTAAATGGCAGACTGCTAGAAGAAGAGATGGACTGTTGTTCGGCCTGAGTGCCTTCACCCTGGCAGATGAGGAAACAACGCTAACCAAACGAGAGAAGAAAGAGTAAGAGGTGCAAATCACTCCAGGGAAAAGTTATTTAGAAGCGATCTGGATTTTCCCAGTGCAAACTGACTCTCCTACCGGATTTGCTCCAGTTTACCCGCTCCTCTTCTCCCTCCCACCCTGGGGGGGATCCATCCCTATTTCGCATTTTCCTTCTTCGAAGCGTCTCCCCGTTTCCCGCCGCCCCGCCCGGGAGGGCGTTTTCCGGGACCTCGGCGTGGCCGCGGCCCGCTCCGCGCCCGCGGAAAGGCCAGCGGAGCAGGGGCCGCCCCAGGGGACGCGGGGTGGCGGCGGGCTCTCCGCCGGGCTTTCGGGTCCCAGCCTCCGCCCCCCCACACTTCTCCCCCCTCTAGCTCCTAGCAGGCGGCAAGAAATCGTTTCGGAAGTAGGGTGGTGGGGCTGAATTTAGAGAGGGGAGGAGGGAATAAATGCAAAGAGATGATGAATAGCGTTAACTTTTGACTGTAGGAGTCATGATGGAGTTGAGCGAAGCTGCAGGAAAATATGTCATTTAATCCCAGGGCTACTGAAGTCCCTTTTATCAAACGTCGGAATTATACTGCTGTAAAGGCAACTCAGTACTTAAAAGTATCCAGCATCAGGCAAATACATAGATTGGAGGAATGGGTGTAAAATGAAGGCACGTATAAACTAATCACACGACCGTGAAAACCCCAAGCGGATTAGATAAATATAAATAGATGTGCATTAAAAAAAAAAAGGCACGGTAAAACTGTAGCTGCTGCATTCACACAAGGAGAACAGACAGCGTGTGCATGTTTGTGTGCAATGCCAAAAAGAGCAGCCTTAAGGTTGACCTCCTGCAATCTGCACTGAGCTCCTTAGACAATAGACAAGTTCAAATGTCAAAAAATCTAATAATAATAACCAGAGCTGCCAAACTGCACGAACTGTTTTCTGGTGTATCACAATTATTCACCCTCTTATCCACTAAAAGGCTGCCAGTCCTTATGCGAGTAAAAGAAAATCTATGTAATGCATATGGATTTTTTTTTTCCACATGTGAAAAGCCATTGAGATGGCAAGCACGCAAATCGGAATGATATCATGTCTAATAAAAGCAGGGCTAAGGTTTTCACAGTCTCTTTTAAAAGACTCCAACTTGTAAATCCCCTTTTTATGTCGCTACATGCACAATTATTCTGATAAATAAAAATCTACATGTTCAAGGGTCTGGATTGGAACTATATATCCCTCTGATTTTAACACCAGTGGGAGCATTAGGTTTCCATCATATGTAATATGTCTATGTTGAGCTCAAGTCAACAGATAGATTGTTCCATTCATTTGGCAACTCTCATTACAGTCTGTGTGAGGTGAACCCTGAGCACGACACGTTGGGTAATATCAAAATTATGCAGCTGGGAAAGAAAAGACCCCTATTTCAAAAGCTATCTTGCTTTGCATGTGCAGTTCTGTATTATTGTTCTAATTTATTACAGAACCCGAAATGCTTTGTTATGCTCAAAACAATAAATAAGGTTCCGAATGAAGCCTTCAGAATAAAAGGTATGGATAAATGATATGCCTGCCTATTGTGTTTATCGTTGTTATCGTCAGCCTTTAAAAGTAATCTGTGTATTTTCCTATTTTCTCCAGATTGGTTAGTGTAATATCCCTAGTGCAGCTATCAAGGTGGTCATAAGAACTATGAACTACAGCATGGGCAAGCTTGAAAAACCCAGAGCAGCTCACATTAGCCAAGAACGCTACATATCTGGAAGCCAGTCAACTTCACGTTTGCAGCTGACTGCCGTATTATGCACGAATGTGTTTTACATATAGCAGACTGTATACGGAATATGTCTTTATGTTTAACATTTTAATTTGTAAATGCTAATTAGGCAGTTGGTCTCCACGGTTATATTAGTACATACCTAATCATTTCCCACTATAAGTAAATGAATACTAAATACGGTAAACACTTTCATTTCCCTACCTTCAAGACAGTATTGCTTCTACATCCATTTTCCAAAGGCGTTCATTCGGACAAATAGGTATTTATTAAAAGAAGGATGTGAAAAAAATGCTCCCTGTAGCACTCTTACAATTGGGGTGCCGCTGCAGGCATGGAGCCAACAATCTTGGCCGGACCGGACTCTTCCGAAGGCAGCCAGCAAAGTTTAAGTTTTGCCGAATTAACTTGTTGCTCGTTTTAGCGTTAGTTTTTCTCTTCTTTTGCGGTACCTCGCAGGTTTCTGCTGCTGCTAACTAGCGCGGGTGTACAGCAGAACAGCCGCACTGCTAACTCCTGTTTTGTTTAAAATATAACGCAGGTTACGCTTGGAGGGTTGGGGGGAGGGGGGACAGAGGAAAGCTGGAGAGAAATCCGCTCAATCCCGACCCCGGGATGCTGAGCTTTGCTGTGGTCTTTCAACTCCAAAACCCTTCAGAGGTGAAAAAAATGTTCACTAAACTACGGCAAATCTCAATCATGCTACCACGTTTCTGAAGAGAACTGCGCTCTGGAATGTGTTTTACTAGTCTGGAATATTGCTAGTGCTTACTGTGCCAAACGCGGTAGGTGGAAAGTTTTGTTCATGTAAATATCTCAACCCTTGTCCCTCAAGGTCTCTACACACGGAGACCTGACTCCGTTTTCCAAATGAAGACCCGCGAACACTTCAAATGAAAAGTTTAATTTCTTATCGGTCGTTTTCTCCCTTTTGATTACTTTTGTCTCTCTCTCTCTTTTTTTTTTTTTTTTTTTTTTTTTTTAGTGTATGTGTTTGTGTTAGGTTTTTAGGTGGGCAGTTCTCATCTTGCCAGGTCCTATCATATTTATGGGTTGTGTGTGATTTCCAGGGTTCCAATTGGTCTTTCCTTCATAGAGGCAAGGAATAAACCTTTCCCAGTCACACGCAAACTGCTGGGACTCCAGCACGGGGAAACAAAGTGGCTTCAACCCCCTCCCCCCCACCCCGTGGCCCCAGTTCCCGCCCCGGGGGCTGCCTGGGACATTCCCCTGGCAGGTGCGTTAAAGAATGATGCAGCCACGCGGATTCCCCCCTGCCCAGCATCCTGCCGCTGGACGGGGGTGAGAAGCAGACGTGTATAGGCAGGAATAAAAAAATAAATAAAAACAAACAAACAAACAAACAAAAAACCCCCCACAAACTAAATTTCTCACTTCTATCCTCTCTTGCAATCACTTGGGGAGGAAAGTGGAGAAAAGGGGCACGGGGCTGAGAGTACACGGGCTCGGGAAGGGAGCCAAGCTGTGTCGAGCTAAGCTGTGCGCGCCGTGGATGCTGCTGTTTTTTAGTTGAGGATCACGTCTGCGAGTGTCCCGGACAGCGGCAACTTGTGCCCGGTGTGCGGGCAGGGCGGGAGGAGTCCGGCGCTGCCTCTGCCGCTGGCTCCCGCAAATGGATAAATCAGGAAGGGATGCGGGGGGGAGGAGTGGCCAGCTTGAGGAGGGGTGGAGGAAAAAAAGGAAAAGAAAGAAAAAGAGAGAGAGGAGCAGCCACTTTTTCAGGTTTAATGCGGTGATTAAATATTAAATTATGTTTAAAAAAAAAAAAAAAAGAGCGGTTTTATTGCATCTCCGGAGGTTTAAGCGCCTTATTCGGACAGGGAAAAAAAAAAAAAAAAAGAAAAAGAAAAAAGTGTGGCACCCCCGGTTGCCCCGAGCCGCGTGCCCGTGCTTGTGTTTAATTACTGCTCTCCCTCCCTCGCAGGCCCCGGGTCCGCCGGAGGTACCGCAACCGACGGGGGCACTTTCGGGGCGGGTTCTGAGCCCGCGGCTCCCCGCTCCTCTCCCCCTGCGCGCCGCCCCGCCGGTCTCGGGGGTTCTGGGGCTGTCTGGCCCGGACGGGGTGTCCCGGCGGCAGGACTGTGGGGTGTGCTGGACTGTGGGGCCCGGGGGTACCCGGGGATGAGCACAGGGCCCGGTGGTGCCGGGGGCCCGCGGCGCCCCCGCCCCGGGGCCGTGAGGGGCCGGGCCGGGCCCGGCGGGCGGGCGGACCGGCGCGCTGCAGGGCGCCCCCTGGCGGGCGGCCGGCGCCCGGCGGAGCACGGCCGAAGTTGATTTTGCTCACAAGCCGTATCGTATAAAATTAACGACAGCCAATAAAATTAGCTTACATGTTTCAACCGTAAAAGTCCAAAACAAAATAAAGCTAGTTTTAGTGAAGCTAAGAAGCTCTGGTTTGGCCCCATTCTCCCTGGCTTGAACTGGGGTCCTTTTATCTAAAGCCCAGTGCACAAACATATAGCTTAATGTGACTAGTGTTCTTCCTTTTATTTCTTTCTCTATGGCAACCAATATGTTCTGCTCAGAAATGTTCCCCCATCAAGGAAACAAATGATCTTGAGGGAGCAGCTCTATACGGCATCTGTTCCGATGGAGCACACAGAGTTAACCCCAGTCAAAAGAGACGCTGGGCACGTCAACAAGAAGTGGAAAATGAGCGATTCTTCCTCCCCCTCCCAAATTGAAACCTATACCTCCCTAGTTTTACAAGCCATTTTATTGATTTGGCTATCGACCGTTTCCAAAGAAGTAACTAATTCTAGGAAATTACAATGATCACCAGCTATTGTGTGTCCAAAAGAGCAGCAACAGAGAGGGGAAGGGAAAAAAAAATGCAAATAACACAGTAAAATTAAAATGATTAAAGTCACATAATGGGATATTTAAGCCTCGATAAAGTTTTCAGGAGCGGTATCTGGCCTATTAATTTAATCCTACATTATTTATCACATTATTTATCACACTGACCCAAGCGCTATAAAAGAGTTTCAGATCATTAGACTACACCTCTCAATTGGACGGGACTCGGGGAAAGCGGAGAGACAGGCAAGACTGTCAGAAGAGAGAAACAAAGTGAAATCTGGTCTGTAATCCTCCAGCCCCAATCTCCTTGGAGAATAAAATGAAGGGATGTCCTGGTTAGTTTTGATTGATTATACTCTTTCTGATGGACTTTCACTACAGAGCTCTAGATGTTGTGCTTAACCGTCTGTTCCCTAGTTACAATATTAACCCTCTGCGTGCATCGCCGCTCCGCACCTTCCCCTGCCTCCCCCCTTGCCCGTTCCTGCGCCGGCAGGTGCTCGGGTCCCCCGCTCCCCGGCCCGGCCTGGCCCCGGCCCCGGCCCCTCTCCCGCCCGCCGCACCGGCCGAGCCCCCTCCCCGCTCGCCGGGCGACCCCCTCGCCCCCCCGCGAACCAGCGTTTGAAAACAGTCCGCATCTCTGCCTCGGCTCCCCTTTACAAATCTGTAATATTTTCGAGAGCTTTCCTCACCGCCCCCACCCCTCCCCACGCCCCCTCGCCTTCCTGAGTCCTGGTGTTACAATAATTAACAGTGCCCAGAAAAGTGAAGTAGTAACCAGAAAGACTTTCCAGCGCTGAAGAATTGCTTTGCTGCCTTGAGCTTTGGAATGAATCCATGCTTTTTATGTAATATTTCACTAAGGTGCTTTTTGTTGCTGGTGGGATTTTTGGTTTCCTTTCCCTTTCCCTTTTTTTTCCCCAGCCTATTTCCTTCCAGGCAGTTGCCATAGGTTTCCCTGTCTTGTCCTAAGCTTTTGAAAATATATATCCAGAAGACTTCAAAGTAAACAAAAGTAGATAAAAAAATGTAAAACACTTACCGATCATACTTCCAGGATTTAGAGAATTTTTTTTTAATTTTAGATTTTAATAAGGTGACAGGGGGGAAAAAGCATGTTCTCAACTCCAGCGAAACGATCCATGTTAAGATTTTCCTTTGCACTGACTCCACTAAGCCCCGCTCTCCACTAGTCTATTATTTTCACCAAAATATATGAAAATTTATGCAAATGAAAATCAGCACTAACTGTTCTCCCCTTGTTATACTTTGGATTTTTTTCCAGACAAAACAATCTCACTCTGCAAGGGAGGGGGTGGGAAGAGTTGGGGAACGAAGTTGGTTGTTTGTTTTTTGGTGGGATATTTTTTTTAAATAAAAGACATTACTCCATCTAAAGCTTTATTTTTTTGTTGTCGCCGTTATGAGGGTGTACTTTTTTTTTTTTTTTTATTTTGAGGGGATTTCTCCACCCCCCCACCTTCCTTTTTTATTAAGAAAGTAGATCTGTTTGCAGAGGCGCTATCACGTTTCATCAGGCCACCTGAGACGGCTTTTGAAAGCGTGTACTGTGAAATTCATAGCAGTAATTTAGACAAAATCCTCACTGTATATTAATGAAAGACGGCCCCATGGCACCGTTCCTATCCTCCCCATTCAGTGTAAACAAAACCACGAGACTCACTCGGTTTTTGAGCCTGATCCAAGCAAAATCGGCTGGAAAGGAAAACATGGGGTTCTGGCACTGACTATTCAAACGTCTGCACCTGGAGATCTCAGATTTATTCAATGAAATCTGTGTTGGATCTTTTATATATAAAAAATAAACCTTTGGAGGACGCATGGGAACAAATACATATACATACATACATATATATGTGTGTATATATGTATATATAAAATCATTATGTTTGGTGTTTAGATACCAGCGCCCTTCAGATGCGCACGCTTCACTTGAATGGTTTTTCTCACCCGACCTACCATGGTATTTCGTACTGTGCCAGCCGGGGGCTGGAGGGAGCCCCGAGCACCGGCTGCCGAGCGCGGCGGGAGCGGAGCGGGGCGGCGCGGAGGGCGCTGCCAGCGGGACGCAGCTCACCGCCCCCCGGGCGTGCGGAGGAGGGGAGCGGGGCGGGCAGGGCCGGGCGGGGGGCGACGTTCCCCATTCCTCTGCCCGCACCGCGCGTGTTTCCCTCGCGCGAGTCCCCGCCACCCGGGGAGCGCGCGTGGGACGGCGCTGCGCTGCGCGGCGGTCACTGGCAGCGCCGTGTCCCCTCCGTGTCCAAGCGCTGCTATTGCACCGGCAGTCCCCGAGGAGTGTTCAATTTGCCCTTGTTTTTGTTGCCACTTTCTCTTTTTCTGTGGTTCACTGAGGTTGCCTGCGCGCAGCGTTTCCGCTCGGTCGCATCTCTCCCCCGCGTCCCCCGCCTTCCCCCGCCCCCCTTAACTCTTTCCGCTGGACGAGAAATAATACAGCGTTTCATGCCGCGGGGCTGGTTCCCTTCGAGTAGACCGCGGTGCGCAGGGCAAGCCCGGCCGGGGCTCCCCTCGCCACCTCCCCCACCGACGGGGCGGCCCTTCGCCGGGGCTGCCGGGCCAGCCTCCCAGCATGACGGCTGCGGGCGGGCTGCCGGGCTTCGGGGCGCACCCCGGGGTGCGGGGGCGGACAAAGGGAGGAGGGAGCGGGCAGGGGGCGGGCGCCTGCGGGGCCGAGCATCGGGGGGGCAGCTCTGAGCGCCGGTGCGGGCACTGCCGGAGGGGGAGGCGGGTGCGTGTGCACGGCAGCGGCACCTCCGCACAAACGCCCTTCCGACCCCCGCCCGGCTCCAGCGTCGTTATTACTGTTGTTATTAATTATTACTGCCCGCTCTCGCCCCTGCCCGAGAGGCGGCGGCGGCGGGAGAGCTCCGAGGTGCGTGTGTCCGCCGGGCAGGAAGAGTTAAAAGGCAGAGGGAGGAGGGAGAGAGGGAGGGAGGAGGAGGAAGAAGGAAGGGGAGAAGGGAGGAGGAATAGAGGGAAGAGGGGGGCAACTTCATCTCCGACGCCGCTTTGCCTAAATTAAAAGGCAGCCAATCGGAACGGCCGGAAGGGGGGCCGCGCGGCCGGCGCGGGCTGTCCGTCACGGGGCGCGCAGCCAATCGGCGGGGGCGGGGCGGCCGCTTCCTCGCGGCGGGGCCGGGCGGTGGCGGCGCGGGCGGCGGGAGGGAGGGAGGGAAGGAGGGAGGGAGGGACGCACGGACGGGAGGAGGGAGGGCGCGGGCGCGGGCACGGCCCGGGAGAGGGAGGCGGGGAGAGGCGAGCGGCGGGACTCCGGCACCGCCAGTGCGCGCTGCCAGCCCGGCAGCCAACTTCCCCGCTGGAGTTAGTGTATAAAGGATACCATATATGCACACACACATACACACACCTCTCCACCAAGGCGCTCCTCCTCCGCCTCCTCCCTCGACCAACTGCTGGAATTAAAATAAAAAGCAAAACAAACACCAAAAAAAAAAAAAAAAAAAAAAGACAACAAACCAAGCGAGCGAGCGAGCGGGAGAGGGAAAGAAACAATTCGCGAGGTAACGAGAAATTTCAACTTTTTAAATTTCTTTTTTACTTCTTTTTTTTTTTTTTTTTTCTTTCCGACCGCCTAAAGGAAAGGTAGAGAGAAAAAAAAATGTCTTATCCAGAGCGTGACTCTAGCAAGAAGGCTCCGGCAGGACTCTTGTTTCAAAGGGGACAAAGTGCTCCAGCAACAGCACAACTTTGAGAAATGCATCATCACCACCATCACCACCATCATCATCACAGGAAGTTTTCTTAGGACACCAACAAAACTTGCAAATAAAAGAGCAAAAGGAGATCGAGGAACCGAGGAGAGAAAGACAGAGAGAGGCAGAAAAAAAGGAAAATATACTCACACACAAAGCCTTAAAGGAAGAAGAAAAGGAAAAGTTTCTCTCTGAGAGGGGAAGGCTGAGAGGAGGAGATGTACTCCTAGGGGAGCGGAGGGGAGAAGAGCACGGGGGCTTTTTGATTCCCCCCCCCTCCTTTTTCGCTTTTTAGCCTTTGTTTGGTTTCCTCCCTCCGAGCAGCAACCCCGGGCGAGAAGAAGGAGGAGGAAAAATATATGTACAGCTAAATATTTCTCTTTTTTTGGGAAAAAAAAAAAAAAAGAAAGGCTTAAAAAATATAAAAGGCGAAGCAAGAGCCGGCGATCGCAACGAGCGCGCCGCGGAGCGGAGGCAGGACGGCCGGCGGACGGGCGGAGGAGAGCGCGCCGCGGAGCGCTAGCAGGTGAACCCCGCGCCCCGGCGCTCCGGCGAGGCTGGGAAGGCGGCGGCGGCGCGGGCGGCGGCCCCGGCAGCGCCGGGCAAGGGCGCTCTCGGCGGGCGCCCGGCAGCCGGTGGCGGCGGCGCAGCGGCGGCTGCGGCGCGGCGGGGGCGAGCGGCGGGCGGCGGGCGCGGGATGGCCGCGGCCACCTCTAACCCCTACCTCCCCGGCAACGGCATCCTGGCGGCCGGCTCCATCGTCCACGCGGACTCGGGCGGCGGCGGCGGCGGCGGCGGCGGCGGCATGCAGCCGGGGAGCGTGGCCGTCACCTCGGTGGCGGGCGGCTACCGCGGCGACCCGGCGGCCAAGATGGTCCAGAGCGACTTCATGCCGGGCGCCATGGCCGCCAGCAACGGCGGCCATATGCTGAGCCATGCCCACCAGTGGGTGACAGCCCTGCCCCACGCCGCCGCCGCCGCCGCCGCCGCCGCCGCCGCAGCCGCCGAAGCGGGCTCGCCCTGGTCCGGCAGCCCCGTGGGCATGACGGGCAGCCCCCAGCAGCCGCCGCCGCCGCCCGACGTCAAGGGCAGTGGCGGGCGCGACGACCTGCACTCGGGCGCGGCGCTGCACCACCGGCCGCCCCACCTGGGCCCCCCGCACCAGGGGCACCCGGCGGCCTGGGGGGCGGCGGCGGCCGCCCACCTGCCCTCCATGGCCGGCGGGCAGCAGCAGCAGCAGTCGCTCCTCTACTCGCAGCCCGGGGGCTTCACGGTGAACGGCATGTTGAGTCCCCCCCCCGGCGGGCAGAGCCTGGTGCACCCGGGGCTGGTGCGCGGCGAGACGCCGGAGCTGGGCGAGCACCCCGGGCACCACCACCACCACCACCACCAGCACCCCGGGCACCACCCGCCGCACCACGGCGGCGTCAACAGCCACGACCCACACTCAGACGAGGACACGCCGACCTCCGACGACCTGGAGCAGTTCGCCAAGCAGTTCAAGCAGCGGCGGATTAAGCTGGGCTTCACCCAGGCCGACGTGGGGCTGGCGCTGGGCACCCTCTACGGCAACGTCTTCTCGCAGACCACCATCTGCCGCTTCGAGGCCCTGCAGCTCAGCTTCAAGAACATGTGCAAGCTGAAGCCTTTGTTGAACAAGTGGCTGGAGGAAGCCGACTCCTCCACTGGCAGCCCCACCAGCATCGACAAGATCGCCGCCCAGGGCAGGAAGAGGAAGAAGCGGACCTCCATCGAGGTGAGTGTCAAGGGGGCCTTGGAGAGCCACTTTCTGAAATGCCCCAAGCCCTCTGCCCAGGAGATTACGAACCTAGCGGACAGCCTGCAGCTGGAGAAGGAGGTGGTCAGGGTTTGGTTTTGCAATCGGAGGCAGAAAGAGAAACGGATGACCCCCCCGGGGATCCAGCAGCAGACCCCCGACGATGTCTACTCCCAGGTCGGCACCGTCAACTCCGACACGCCGCCCCCTCACCACGGACTGCAGACCAGCGTGCAGTGAGGGGCACCGCGGGCGGGCCGGGGAGCGCGGGGGCAGCGCGGGCCGGGCCGGGCCGGGCACCGCCGCCGGCACCGCCACCGGCACCGGCACCGCCGCGCACAGCCGCACGCTCACACTGACACACACACACACATGCGCGCACACACACACACACACATACGATCCAGGCTCGTTCAGACTGCTTGTGTTTATATATATATGGATATATGCGTGCATCTATATATATATAAGATCGATACCAATAGGGAGCGGTGGAGAAGGTCGATCCGAGTGAGAGCGTTTAGACCGTGTTGGGAAAACGGGGTGGAGATGCATAATGCACCAAAACTGCAGATGTGCCGGGGGGTTGTTTGGTTGTGGGGAGAGGGCTTGTATGGGTGGGCTTGGGATTTTTTTTTTAATTTTTTTTTTTTAATTTTTTCTCCAAATTATACCCCTCTGGCAGCAAGGAACACCACTGCCTGCACCTCTTCTCTCCCCTCCTCCCCCCCTCCTCGCACTCTTCCCCCTATTCCCAAAAGGGCTCTCTTCTGTGAATCACGGAAACTTTTTTTCTCCTTTCTCTCTCCCTCTTTTTTTTCTTTCTTTTTTTTTTTTTTCAATGGGAGCAATCCAAAAAAGGGAAGCAGAAGCAAAATAATCTGGTTAATCAGAGGGTGCCTGCTGCATTCCAGCACCCTGTTTTTCTTGGCCAAACCGAAGAATTTTGGTGCAAGGCAGACATCCACTCTGAAAACATATATATCTATATATTCTGCAAAATGAAACGGGCCACTTTTTCCAGGAAAAAAAAATTATGCACACAGCACTAAAAACAAGCAGGCTGAATAGGGAAGCAAATACATATATATATATTTATCTATATATATAGGTATAGCTATAGAACAAAAATATGGAAATAAATGCCCGCACGCCGATAAAACTGACCCTGAGGAGAAAGGGGGGAGGGACAGACGCCGGGGGGAGGGTGGGAGAAGGAGATGTTGTTGGTACCTAAAGTTCGAGCTCTGTAGAAGGACTTTGCATGAATTAAGGGAACCAGCGAGAGAAAGGGAAATAATTTAGGGCTGTCAAAGTCCTGTTCCTGACGGCTGCCAATCATCATGGAAGAGTCATAAAAAAAAAAATCCACTGCTAATATTTTTTTTATTAATATTTTTATTTTTTATTTCTGGACTGATTCAGATAAAGGGATTTAGAAGGACTGAGCATCTGCAGCTGCACTTATCTGAACTTCTCCTCTCCTAAATCCGTTGCCAACTTTGATTGAATGGGTGCTGTGGATGTGATTATATAATACTGCCATTTCCAAGCAGTGTTTTTGGTAGGTTTTAATAAACAGACTTTTCAAAAAGACGGCAATATAGAATTGTTAGATCCGTTGTTGATCTAAAAAAAAAATTTGCTTTATATTTTCATTAAATGACTTCTTTTAATATTTTATTCAGAATACCTATGAACTGCTGCAAAACGGTAATTTATTTTTTCCCCAGATCTTGTATTACGTGTTTTTTTCAGACGAGCACAAATCAAAATGAAATGAAAATATGGACAGTTGTTAGGTAATAAGGGTATCTTTTGATGTGATAATTTGATTGTAATTTAATTTGAGTAGTGATTCCGTAAGAGCTGATTGAGAAAATAAATTTGTTAGAATGAAATAGTCTGTGTCTGATGCATAAACATGTCAAAAAAAAAAAAAAAGTTCTCTGAAGGGATATACTGCTGAAAGGAGAGAAATACCGAGGGTCCGATCTACCGGCCGCACGGCCCTGTGCTCGCCGGCAGTGCCTCTGCCGCACCCCTGCCGCTGCCGGCCCGGCGCGGGGCTCACCCCCTGCCCGCCCCTCCTCCGAGCCCGTGTCCGCGGCCCCTTCCATCAACCCGGGGACCCTGTGTCACCGGGAAGGACGGCGAGACTAGAGATCACCAAAGGCCACCTTCTCCCACAAAGGGCTGTGTCGGCTGAGTTTAGGCTGGCACTTGGGCACGGGTGATACCTGAGCGTGTCCTCTGGTCCCGCGTGGCCGGTGCTGAGAGGGATGTTTCCAAAAGTTCAGTCTTGTTTTCTCGTTTTCCAAACTGAGGCTTGGGGGGGCAAAGAAGGGGAAGGGGGGCTAAGCTATAATTTATTTTTATGCATTTTATGTATGTATTAATATTTGTATTTAATTTGTCTTTATAATTTAAGAAAAAGGTACGTTCGGTTTTTTTTCTGACTGAATATGTAGAATACTTTCAACATCCTACGTGCGGTCTGCCTAGTTCACCATTTCTGTTGTTGCTGTTGCTGTGGCTGTTGTTGTTGTTGTTTTAGGGTTTTTCTATGGGGTGTGAAGTGGTGTAGCCTAGTTTTCTCCTCCACTCTGCCATAGCGCTGCCATGCCTTCTTTGCAAACACACGCGTGTGTCAGTAACGTTGGAGATGCCAATAGATGCACTAGCTGACCTGTCATACTTACCCGCTATAATTTATTGCAATATAGGGACAAGTGAATGACCGTCTCAACTCTCTTCGTTTTGCAGCGGGGAGGTTATGGGAAGTAGAGAGCTGCATCTAATGCATCCACCTGACCCTACTGATAGTCTGCTGGAGAATAAGGTTTTCTTTTATGATCCAGCTCACCCCTGGGCTCCTTCCTCACCTTCCTCTTCCTCCCTTCTCCGCGCCCCCCTCCACCCCACCCCCCCGCCTTGCTTCTCTAAGTGCTATTGAGGCAGGGGTTAAACCCCCAGAAAACTGCTGCAGGAACAACAAGCATTTCTTCCTTTCAGATAGGCCTTGTGTCAGTCCATAAATCAAAGCCAACCTGAGAACCGGGCACCGGGATGCATTATTTTAACACCAGCTCGTAGTAAATATCACCGTCGGTTTGATTTGTGAAATCCAAAAGGCCCTACTGACACCGAGGAAAAAAAAGCGGGGTGGGGAGAAGCCAAACCAACAAAGGGAAAGAGAACCCGAAAGGGTAAAGGACGCTCTTTCTTTTGTTCGTTTTAGCAGAAGCTGCTGGCTGATTTTGCTGCTGGGTAGGGAAAAAGGGTCGGGCGGGGGCTGGCGGCCAGGCGGGCAGGCCGGGCCCCCCTCCGGGGGCCGGGTACCACCGACACGTCAGGTGGGATCCTGTTTTCACACACGAAGGGGAGCGGTTTTATTAGCCGCGGAGAAAGTCTATTTAAATTTCGGAGCGGTATTTGGTTACTCGATTTGGATGGCAACAAAGAGCTAACGTTAGGCTTCACGCTGGTTTCTATTAAAAGGCAACCTTTGCGGGTTGCTGCCTCCGAAAAGCTGGGGGTTAGGCTGGAGGAGTAACGTGTGGTCGAAGGGACTGGCAAAATGTCCCAGTTCCGTGGACTTGTTATGCACAAAAAGTGAGGCCATGGGCGCTACCCCCCGCCGCCCCTCCGCCCCCTCCCCCGCCCCCGAGAAACTGAATCCTTTGAATGTATTTAGGAATTTCAGGGTTGTGAGTCTCTGAGATAGCAAGAGATAGATAATAAATGAGAGGGTCTGCGCTAAGGGTTATATTGTTACACGTGTAAATAATGAAAATATTGTTATATATCGCCAGATCTCTTAATGAATTTAGTAATTGTATTCATTTATAATATCAGTGTTCTGTGCTTGGTAATGGAGTCGGCATCATTTTCCTTAGTTGTTTTTTTTTTTTTTTTTTTTTTTCCTACCTAAAGGAAAGCCAAATGTTTTACAAAGTTATGTTTGGTCAGACTGGGTAATCCCGAGATGTGATTATTTATAGTTTACATTTTCATATCCTGTGATCCTTCACTACGCCCCAGTCTTCTCACATCCTATCCTTCCCCCGTCGAGTCTGTACACAATAAATCATTTTCAGGTGTATTCAAAATAGTCATCTCACTGCTGTTGGTCCGCGTATATTCCGAAATTTAGCAAAGAGCTCTACTTCGGTTTTAAAACGCAGCAGATCCTATCGGGAAGTGATCTTTACAGAACCCTTTGCTTTACTGTAGTGACTCGTGTTTGCACATTACAATGCTCATAATTTGTTTTGTATGAATGGTTTTAAATGGAACGTTTAGAGAATAATTGGTTCTAATATGAAATGCAGTATATACTATTGATAATTTTATCAATAAGTGTACTATTTTAAATAATTTTAACAATTAAATTTGTTTTTTTAAATTATATATTTGTAAAATATTTATCCTGTTGAAAGCAACAATATATTGTTGTATTTATTCGTTTATTTTTGTAATAAATGATCAACATCTTCAAGCTACAGCAAAATCGATACTTCTATATATTTATACAAAGATACCTTTCTGAGGCGCAGAGATGCTCGTTCCGATTTGGAAGCGAGTGTAAATATTACCTCTGTAACTGGCAGGCTGCAGGACCAAACTGTAGGCGTGAGCTTCTTCCCCACATGTACTTTAGTTTGTTTAAGTTCCAGGGTAATTAGTACAACTCCAAAAGGGATGCAACAAGTCCCGGCCTCGGAGGCAGGTGTGGGGCAAGCGCTTCAGGACAGGGACCCATTTTGCTAAAGCCAGAGTTGGCGAGGAGCTTGGTCGCCTGTGGCGAAAGGGATGGATGAATGGATGGAGCGAGTGGAGGAGATGCAGGGAGGTGGTTATTGCCCTGTCGGTGTTTTCAGTTGCAGTTTGGCACAATGGAGCGGGCGCAGCGCTCAATAGGCGGCGGGAGCGAGGGGAGAGGAGGGCGAGCGGCCCCGCAGTGTCAGTGACACAGCAGTAGGGAGTTCTTTGGTTGAGAGGCTTTGGCGACACAAAAAGCTAAGGGGTGAAGGCCGAGCGGCGTAAGGTTCGCCGCCCATCCCGTCCTCTCCGACACCAAAGGAGCAGCCAGGTCTACGGAGGTGCCCACGGGGCCTCGCCCCCGGGGCCGCGCTGGGACCGGCCTCCCCCCCACCCCTCTCGAACAGGGCGGCTGCGGCCGGGCCCGGGTCTCTCCACGCGCGGGGAAACACTGGCGCCGAGTTTCCCCACCCGTGGGACGCCGGTCCGGGGCAGCGCCAATGGGGCGGCCGCCGGTGCCCGGCTGCGCTCCCTCCCCGCGGGCCGGCCCGGGGCGGCGGGCGGCCCGGGGGAGCCGGCGGGCGGGCGGCGCGGTGGCGCGGCGGCAGCTGCCGCGGGTCCCACAAGTTGTTTTCCTCGTGGCGACCATTCAGCAAAACGCAGGATCCTTTCTCCAAGATTTAAATTTCGCGGATGAATTACCATACAGCGGTTGCTTAGCAACTAAATTCAAGCCGGGCTAAGAATATGCAAGCTTTTTGTATTCTCATTAATAAAAATGCCACTCTGACACAGCAACCTGACTTTGGATCACTGCAACTTCTGTAAAAGCCATAGGAGAATACAAACGGGCTCCTCCATTTAATTACAGATCAGAGTGGCTTGAAATGTGATGTTTTGTTAATCTATCTTCCTAAAAGCGATGTAAAAAATAACGGCTTTTCAAGAGCAGTGGAAAACTACTTTTTTAATGGAGCTGTCTCCTGGTGCTACTGATGGCTGCAAAGCGAAACCTCTTTTTTTGAGTCACACTTTCAAGTAGCATCCCTCCTTCCGTTTTGAGTTTCCTGAAATCAAAAACATTAAGACATTGGAGCCACAGGGGAAAAAATAAAAATAAATAAGCTGCAGCCGATTAGCGCATTAGAGAGGAGAGCATCGCTCAGGAAAGGGAATAGAGGATAAAAATTGTCAAGGTGGAGCCCCAGCCAGGCAGAGACCCACGATGGGGTGTGCAGCCTATGCCTGCTCTGAAGCAGGAGTCTCTTGCTCCGAAATGGCTCTCTTCGGCATAAAGTGTGTGGGTACATTGGCTGGGGAGGGCGGGGGAAAAGCCTTCAGGGACACCTTGTTGAATGTTTCTCTCCAAAATTTATTTCCCCTTCTGCTAACATTTACTTTATATTGCTTTCAGATCGCCAGAGATAAGATCTTGGAGTTAGATTCTGGCACCATGCACCCAATCTCGTATATATGGGAGAATGACCTCATCAGGGGAGGACTGTGTGTATAGATAGAATAATTTAAACATAGACTAGACACCTACATATAAATCTATATATAAAGATGTGTGTGTATGATATAGATAGATATATATGCGTGTGTGTGTTTGGTATGCCTTTAGCAGTACCAAAAAACTTCCTTGCCAACCCAGCAGCCCCCAGGCAGGGCTGCCTTCCCCCGCGGTATTCGGAAGAAGTACTGCCCCCTTCCAAGGGGCAGCGGTGGGAGCTCCGGGGCTCGTCTGCGCGCAAGGTGCTTGGCAGTCAGGGCTGGGGCTGCCTCTCCCTGCCGGCCATCGGCGTTGTGTGGCGGGGAGGGCCGCCTCGGGACCGGGCGCCGACTGCCAGGGTCGCTGCTCGCTCTTGCTGATGGCTGGGGGTTTGGTTGTGGTTGGTTTTTAGCAACAAAGAGTTAAATCCAAACTTTCTTTTCCCTTTTTGTTTCTTTTGTTGTTGGTTTCCCCCCACACACACTTTCGAGACCTCTGAAATGGAGCCAGAATTGTATAAACCCCAAGCCACGTTAAAAGTTCAGGCATGGGGTTTTTTCTCCAAGGGGACTTGTCTGCAGGAGGCGAGGGGGAACTTGGAGGTCTGTCCGAGCTGTGCAGATCACTGAGGAATCAGGAGTTGCCCCCTCCTCCCCAGTCCTGCTTCTCTCTTTCTCTTTTAAAGTTTTCTTTTCTCCCCTGAAAGGGGAGAAGGGGGGCAGTCAAAAGGGGTAGGCATTTTCCAAATGTGAGTTTGTGGTGGAGGGAGATCACTCTCTCCGCAGGATTTAGTCTCTACTCACTTTAAAACATAGAAAGCAGGAAAAAAAAATCCCATATAACAAATACTAATGGAAGAAAGACAGTGAAGTAAGAACCTGTGAAGACTGGAGTCCTCTGAAACTCAGGCTTACCCAAAGCTTTAGCAGAGTGTTTTTCTTCTCTCCCCAACGGTTATAGAATGTGTATCACAAGGCTACAGCATAAATAATCAGATTCCGTTCCATTTCGCATCTCTCTCTAAGAGTTGAGATTAAAAGCCAAAATTCGAACATAGCCCTTACAGAGCAGTTGAATAGTGCCAGTGCATATGTTTCCAACTCACAGGTTGAAAACTGTACCTTCAAACTTAGGTTTGTTTCTGATAGCTTGTATTTCTTCAGCTAGAAGATAAACAGAACTTTTCTGAATTTTCCCTATTGCACCCATCCATGTGGGGAAAAGACAGTATTACATCAGCTCTATACCTTCAACACAAGCAGGGAAGGTTTAGCAAGAAAAACTCACTGGTATACCACAGTGGAGATCTTTATTTTAGACTTGGGACAGTTCAAACCAATTTGACACCAGCACTGAGCACCACAAAGTATTTGGTTTGGGAACAGACTCCTCAGCAGTAGTATGAAGTGGATTGTTGTTGCTTGATGACCGATGTGTGGTTACTCCAAGTGTCCCCTCGCTGCATTTCTTGCAAGGCTCATGGTACAGAGGAGAGTTTCCACACACAGTGACAGTGCTTTTATATCAGACCACTGTGCCATGCTCCCCAAAGTCCAGACCTGGGGGCTCAGCAGAACTATTTCTTCTCAAAAGGAGAAGGGAGAAAATGGATTAGAAAAAGGGAACCAGCTGGGGACTGTTACCCTCACTGGTAGTAGGCCTGCTCTTAAAAAACAGTGTCAAGGCACTGCAGTAGCATGTGAAATGACAAAGATAGATGCTATTTCTTCTTGAGGTCCACACTGAGTGGAGAAAGTCAGAGGGTTGTTGACTGTCTTGCATATGGGGCCATTCTTTCAAATTGAAATGAATCGATTTTAAAAAGCAGGGACTGGCTAATGGGGAACCTGGTATGGCTGCTATATTTATGTGCATCAAACTGAAATTTAAACAACTTGAGGGAATGTGAGCTGTATAAACATTTTATATATAGTAACCTTTTTGTTATTAGTTTTGGAAATGCTTGGTGCTACTTCCCTGCCACTGCTCCATAAAGCTAACTATACAGCATTCAGTCCGTGTTACAGGCAAGCAGGAACTGTTTGCTTAACAACTCCAGGCTCCATTTTCAACCGGAGTACTAATGTACACCCTGAGCTGGTCACAAAAACCCAGGTAGACTGATGTTTTTAGACCACTTCACCAAGCAGGCAGATAAAATACAAAAAGTAAGTGCATGGCTGTAGGAAGCTGTGGACTGCAGGGTGTTCTGAAAGGTTGGTTTGGTTGTTTGGTTTTTTCCCACCTCTGCATGAGTGCAGTGAGGACCTTCTGAAGCTGAGTTTGGGCTCATATCTTCACCTCCCCTCCACATTCAAGATGTTGTGAATATTTACCAAGTACAAAAGATATGAGAAGTGGTGGGCATAGATCATTATTATATCCCTTGCCTGACAGAAAATGGGCCCAGAATAGCAGAGCTGAGATTAATCTTTCCTAAAAAAAAGAAAAAAAAGAAAAAAAAAAAAGAATTGTTCTGGAGTGACATACGTTTCTTTCATCTCCTGGAACTCTCATTCAAAACATGGGTCTGTCTGCCCGAGTGGGACATTTCTCAGAGAACTGTAATAGATATTTGTTCCAGCATGCACACTAAAGCTACAGACCACGTGTAAGGTGCAAATCTCGAATTTTTTTTCTCTCTCACACACATATGCATCCTCACAGACATGTAAACCTACACTCCCTTCTCTTCCTAAAATAATAAAACATCCTCTCCCCAGTTCTGCCACCCTCTCTATTTTATGCAGATCCATACTCAGATGTGTACCAAAATTTTTAACTCAGTTTTCTGAAATTGCTAGATTGTTGAAATTAAACTAAACAAGGAGATGTTTGAAATGTTGAACTTTAAATACCATCCACTACCTCGAGAAGAAGAAAAATGAGTCAATAAACACTCAGGTTTCTGCTACTTTTAGATTATCGTGATTAAAAGAATATTTTTTTTAGATTTTTAATTTTATTTTTTTTATCATGATGAGAATTCCCTCATGCTGTAATAGTGGGTACTGGAAGGTAATGCCCTTTCCCTTTTGATTTTGGACTGAAGAACAGGGTTACGTTGTCTCCCCTAGGTGTTAATGATGGATACAGATATGTTTAATCTTTCAAATGGTATGTGTATTTCTGTGAATACTAGGTGAGATGACAATATCACTGTCAGTAGCCCAGAAGAGGTATGTTTTACCTGAAGAACTGGGCTTGGGCTGGGTGCTGCTGCTGTTCTGGGTTTGGGGTTTGTT